TAAAAAAGCTCTGCTGAGATATATAATGAATGGTGGATGAGCAATACGATTTCTGTTAAATTTTGTGACTTACTGCAGTGTGAATACATAGCTTTTAGACATGATTGTGATCTGAAAAATTAGTGGTTTTTTTTTTTCCCAGTGGTTAGTAATGTGTTCTGTTAAAAATAATGCATTTTATGTCAGTTTACATTTGTTTTCAACTTTTAGCCTTTCTTGGGTGTGAGGCTTTTGTACTACTAAATACTTATTTTTATAGTAGTTGCTTGTTGAACGTGTCATTTTTAGTCTCTGACTTGGCAGTTTTTTGGGTGATGTTTCTACCTCAGCTATTTCATAAGTTTTTCAACACCTCTGACTCTGGAATTAATATTAAAATATGTGCATTGACATAACAATAGTCTTAAATCAGTTTTCTCTTGCTGCATGCATAATATTGTATACTTGCACATCTAAAGGTCACAGTAGCTCTTGAATTGCTTTACCTGCACACTTTGAAGAAGAAAGAAATAATCTATGAATGTTATTCATGCTGAAACTCATTGCTAAGCTCACTTGCCTACAAAAGTGAGTTCTTAGTTTTGAGACTTTTAACGAGGTAGTAATATGTCTTGATAATTTGATACACTTCTGACTCAATCAGATCAAGCCTCACCTCCGAAAGCATCACTCAAGCTGTCTGTGCCTCTTTCTGTGACCCTTGGTGAGCGTTGTGGAGCTCATTGGTGCTCTGAATTTGCTTTGTATCATCTGAGCATAGAAGTGTTTCAGCTGGAGACTGGAAAAATGGCAACCAATGTAACTGAGTTACTTTGGGGTTTGAAACAAGTGGTTGTGAAGCTGTCAAGTTGTTCAAAAGAATGCATGTTGTGTATCATAAGTTTGCTTTAAGGCTTTGAGTCTCTTACAAGCTTGCTAGGCTAAAAAGGCACAAGCAGGATTGCCCCCGTATTGATGCTGATTTTTAAATAACTTCATGGAAGAGGTGTGTTGGGGGTTTTTGTGGTCTTTGTGCCTATCAGTCCTTGAAAATGCAGGTTGTAGGTGAATGAAAAAAACCCTTTTGTACGACTACGATTTGGTGGTTGACCGGGATGATTAACCATTAAGACCTTAGGTGCTTCATCCTTCTGCTAGTAACCTTCAGAGTGAAAAGTGCATTATTGAAAGGAATTTGCAGTCAGATTACTATAGCAGCTATTTAGACGGAAAAGGATACTAAGTGAAACACTTTGCCTACATGAGGCAATTATCTGAAGTCCCTGTGGGAGCTAGTTGCCACTTAATTTTCAGCTGGAAAAAGAAATAATATTATTTATTCCAGGGTTCTTGTTTAGAAGCAAATCTATTTAAAAATAAGGGCTTAAAATAAAATTTGAAAATACTTTTAAATTTACTGTAGCCTAAGTAAATTGGGATTCAAATTGCCACAGTTTAAATATAGTGGTTGAGTTTATAGACTTCACAAAGTTTATCCACTATTAGTGGTTATAATCTGTCTGGAAACAGGTATTGCAAGAACAGAAGTGTCTCCTTGTATGCTCGTTAGAATGTATATATAATATAGAATATATGTAGAATGTTTTTGAACATGTTGTGTAGAAAGAATATATAATGATAGCTTAAATTGTGAGCAATGCCCTTAATGTTTCCCATGGTATGGGTACTGAGGCTGACCTGACCTTTACCCTACTTACTTAAAGAACTCAGGGTTTCACACTTTGAATATTACACTACCCTGTATGGGAATGTAAAATGATACTTACATTAGCTGCTGGATTTTTTTTGCTTTTTGAAATGGAAAAAAAGCTCATGATGATTAGTTAGTTGTCAGAGTAAGTTGTAAACAGGCATATTATTTACACCTTGCTATGCTGAGCTGATTTCCAGTGCATTTCAGCATAACTGTAAGCTGCCAAAGATCTGGTAATGTGTGCTCTGTCACCCACTGTTCTACTATGTAAATAATAAAATAACTAAAATAATTGAGCTGTGCCAAATTGATTTCTTGTGCATTCACAGTCCGTGCTGCTACGTATTTTGAAGAAGTTTTTCTAAGACATGTGATGTCAAAGTGTTTTAATAGTATATTTCTAGAGGAAAAGCAGCAGACAATAATTTTATTATCATAGAATTAGATTCATTAGATTGAAATAATGTTCTAAACCAGTAATTGAGAAAACTGCTGCTGCATAGTTCAAAAAGTTGACAAGTGTAAGTCTTCTGGAATTTCATTTTGCCACATTTACCAAAACATTGGAATTTTGAGAGCAGGTTGGGTAGGGTTTTGGGTTTTGGTGTGGTTTGTTTTTTTTTTTTTTTAATACCTGACTTAATACTGGTTTTGTATGCCTTCATACAGCTGAGATGAGGAGTGGGGTCAAAAGAGTTAATGGTGTTCCTAGAAAATTAATATAATGGAGATTCTTAGTCGAAAGTGGTAAACCTCTATAATAGCCATTTTATGTGAAATTCTTCCTTGATGTATGCTAATTATGTTTCTGCTCCTTTAGATGGAATGTAGATATATTCATTCACGTTTCTAAATTGCATGAGGCTGTGAAGCTATGTGCAGCTAAATGAATTCAGCTCTGTTCACTTGTCTTTAACAAATTCAATGGTAAATAGTGTACTTTTGACTTGATTTCATAAATTATTTCTAGAAAGAATAATATTTAGAGCTGTATTGATGAGGCAAGGAATTTGAGATTACTATATTTTCTCATCTAGTTAGTGAAGAAGAGATTTCAAGGGGAAACTTTGCAACAGGGCACTGCTAGTGTTTCCACAGTTATCCTTTAGGTAATAGGGAAATGTGAGTTACTTTGTCTCTGGGGTCAGAGGTTCTCAAATCACTTGTTACTCTGGCTACAAATGAGTATTGTTCTGGTAGAAACATGTTCTTGCTTTTGTAAATATGTTGCTGTGTGAGTTGATGCTTGAATTAGTATGTTGGTGATCATCCGATGTACAGGTAAAATGCTTGTGAAATTAGATAGACTGAAGATGAAGTAATTTCTCCTTCAGACTTTTTTCTTTGAGGGGGGTGGGGAAGAGGGAACTGAAGCTTAGAATTTCTTGTTTCCTTCATTATAATTTCATAATCAGTCTGAGTCCAAGTGCTAAAATTTAAGGGTTAAATTTTAGATGGGTAAAATTGAGAAAGGTTATAGTTGAGGTACACAAAAGAATTCTTAAGATAATGAGGCTATCTGGGTAATAGGGGCTACTGGAGACTAAATTTTTAATAGTTAAATTTCAGATTGGACCAGAGTATTGCATATGATAGTTTAAATCTAAAATATGGTTATTTTTATCAATTGTCAATTTTACGATAATTTATTAGCAATAGGATTAAAGTATTTTTGTGTTGAGTATTCATGAGAAAAATTATCCTTTTCCTCTAGATAGAAACTCAGCTTTCAGTATTATTTCAGTACAACATAATTAGCTTCCAGCTGATGTTTTGCAGTTCTGGTGAACTATTAGATGGCAGAATAACGTACCATAGCTGTTCTTCAGAATTAAATAAGGTGAAATATTCTTAGGAAATTATTTTAATTAAAATTGAGTGTATTTTGAGAGTCCTTAAATCCTTTTGAGTAGTTGTTTAAATTAGATTATGAACTAGCTGAGCTTTCGAGGGAGAGGTTGATCTTCCTTGTTCGATTTTTTTTTTTTGTGTATTTTTTGTTTGTATTAACGGTATGCTGTTTTGAAAGAAAACATCAAGATTTTCACTAAGGGTTGAGAAGATACTAAGCAAATGAAGTTTTATTTTTTCTGTTGGATGTAGTGAGTTGATCACAATAAATGTGGTGTTGCCACTTCAAATGGAACATGCCTCACCAAATATGTTAGAAATCATGAGGTGATATTTCTGTTCTAAGCACACAATCAGTAGATGATCCCTGATATTAAAAGGGTTCTAAAAAAACCCCCACCTATTTAAAATGTCTTTTTCTTAAAACCTATTACTTCTCTTCCCCTATTATTAGAGTAAATTGTAAGCATTTATCAGATTGTTTGTCTTTATAAGCAGAACTAGACTGTGGGTCTAGTTGTATTTTTCTTTATTGTTTTCTGAAGAAGAAAATCAAGCCCTTAAGCTTGGCAGTAGGAGAGTAGAACCTGCTAAACTAAAGCTTGTGGTGGCTTTTATCCAGTCTGTCTTTAACCCTGGCTAGAGTGGAGTGTGCTACCTGGCTTGGAGTAATTCATGTACATAAATTACTTTGGGATCTATTTTTTTTCAGGAGGGACAGAAGTTTCTAATATACTGACAGTAGCAAAAGAAATTCCAGTAGCAACCCAAGGTGGTTTTGGTTTTTTGTTGTTTTTTTTTTTTTTGTTACAGCTAGACTATTTGAATGTCTTGGTGGCATCACAGAATGTCTTACTTGTCTATGTTGCTGTCTTAAATGGCAGAAATGTCTATAGAAAGCTTATCTATTTTTCAGATATTTATTTCTGAAGTCTTGTGTGCATGGTTGAACCACTTTGGTCAAAACGTAACTGGTACTATTCATGTCAGAGTCTTCCTTAATACATAGAGTACTAGTTCTTACCCTGGGGATCATGGTCACAAGGTGTTGTGCAAATGCTTTAGTTGTTCACACAGTAATTAAATCACACATAAAATCAACCCTGGAATAGGAGGAATTGGCAGTAGTTCTGGTTTAAAGAGACTGTTGTTCCTCTAAACAGCTGCTGGTTTGTCAGAATACTGCAGTATACATTGTTCTTGAAGTTAACCATTTTTGCCATGCTTTTATGTGCATTTATTGAATACAGAGATAGAAAGTGTCTAGCTTTACAAGGCCTAGCTGCAAAAAGACTCAGAACTGATAGCACTGTGCTATATAGTACATGAGAATAAATACCTCAGGCCTTGTTGTTTTGTCGGTGGGTATCAGTGGTTGTTTAAGGACTGAACAGAAGCTTTTGAATTTGTTATAACATTTTAAATTAAATGTCTTTTTCTTTTTTTTTTCCTTCAGGGACGAAACCCCTTTTTTCTGGAGCCAGCAATAATTATAACAGTTACTGATGGAAGTAAATTAACTACTACTAGCGGGATACAGGAAGAGGTAAGATCTGACTTCTGTTTACAGTGGTGTGTACTAAACCTTGTGTTAGAATACTGTGTACAGTAGGAGCATAAATGACTCTTAAAGAGTATGCTCATTAATAGCTTAAACTTGCATGTTTTTTCCATTTTACTTGAGGTGATTTTATGAAGCACTACAAAAATCTGAATAGCTCTTTTTCCTTATCACATATTACAGAAACATGTAGTACAACTGTTGGTCCACTTAGTAGGCTGGCTTCGCTATTTCTGTCCAGAGAGTTCATGCTTTTCTACCTGACAGACAGAAGAAATGGATTTCTATAAAGCTTGTATGTCTTTAGCTGGTCTAGATATAAGCTCTTTATGTGCAGACCCAAGTTAATGTAGTGCTTTCCCAAAGGATGTGGTCAGTAGGGAGTGTATAAAATATGTGGTTGTTTCACACTGGGCTCTTAAAGTGATTATAATAAAATTGGTAGTGTCCTTATCCAAGACAGGAGCTGAATAAATATTTCTCAAATTAAGTCTGTAGATCAGTTTAAAACAGTAGATCTTAACATACTGGAGTGAGTACCTGCTCAGACATCTTGCAGATTTGGAGCTGTAGAAAATGTTGAGGCACTGAACTATTTTATCTTACTGGCTGTTTTGAATTCTTTCCTTAAAAAGATGAAAGAGGTTACTAGGAGGGGGGTTGGGCTGGCCAGCTCAGTACCCATTCCATGCAGTAGTCAGAAAAAACAAACAACAATAAATCCCTAAGATCATTCCCTTTTCAGGGAAAAGGTTAATATCCAAAAGTCTGTCCTAAAGCTAAAGAGGAGGATCCAGACTTTTCCATGTGATACAATGTTTGATAGTAGTCATATATTACTTACTCAAATTTTTCCTAATACTCTCTTATATCACATTATTACAGCATTTACAGAAGTTATTTGTATGAAAAGTGTTATTTGGATGCTTTTGTATTGTCTGACTTAGAGGAAGAAAGTTGAATGGCAACATAATTCTATATGGGCTACTAACAAATAGCCATAGCCAGTAACTGAAAGGGAATGCTTGGATATGTGATACCAAGTGGGATGTCTGTATAAGACTTTACTTTCATCATATGTTTTTACCCACTAAGCTTTTTCCAGTTTACTCCAGTGAATGATGTGGTGTGATCCAAAATACTGAGTAGAATAGCAGCCTCATATTTATGGTGGTTGTCAGTGAGCTACTGTTAATTAAACAGAGGGATAGTGTGACACTTTTAGAGTCTTTTACAATATTTAGTGCTGTTACCGGTAGAATACTGTTTTGGCTTTTTAAGAGCTAATTGGGTAGTGACATAGCTGTGTAAGTCCTTTCTTGAGGGAAGCAATTTGTCTGCTGTCAGGTGACATTGACATCCTGGAGTGAGAGACATGAAGATGCTCAGAGGGGTGAAGCAAATGACCTCTGAGTAGAGGCTGAGAACTGGGTTTGTTTAGCCTTTAGAAGAGAAGCCTGAGGGATGGGGGAAGGGGGAGTGTCTTACCACTACCTGCAACAACTTAGTGTAGGAGGGAGCCCAGCTTTACTTGGAGGTACACAGGGCTGAGATGAGACAGCTGCAAATTGTACCATAGGATATAAAGAAAAAAAATTAACTGTGTGGGTGATTGAACACTGGTATAGGTTGTCCAGTGCTTGTGAGATCTGTTATTAAAGATGCTCAAAACTGAGTTGGACAAGACCCTGAGCAATCAGAATACTGTGGACTGTATAACCTTCATGTGTCCCTTCTCATGTACACAGTTCAATGATTCTGCATTGTATTTCCTTTCCTCTTATTCATTTATTTGAAATGGTTTGGGTAAGAAAGCTCTATTCACTGTCATGAGCTCTTTGCTTACAGCAAGAGTCCTTATTTCTTACAGCAGCAAGTTATTTTGTGTTCCTTTGCCTTCAAATGTGGGTAGAACTTTCTCACCTTTGTCTTCCCAAGAAGACATTTTCTTATGGTTAGGCAACCATCTGGTCACACATTCACATCTTCAAATTGTTGCAGCTTATGCTGAGAAAATGGGTTTTCTGGAGGCTGCTTTTCATGGTTTAAGCCCAGCTGGTAACTCAGAACCATGCAGCCGCTTGCTCACTCCCCCCCTTCCCGCCTTCCTACCCCTGCTCCTGGAGGGATGGGGAGGAAAATCAAAAGAATGTAACTCCCAGGGGTTGAAATAAGAGCAGTCCTGTAACTAAGGTATAACACAAACCACTGCTGCTACCACCAATAATAATTAATGATAAGGGAAATAGCAGTGGAAGAGAATACGACTGCTCACCACCCACTGACTGATACCCAGCCCAACCGAGCCGTGATCTAGCCCTTCTGGGTAACTGCCCCCAGTTCTACATCCTGGGCATGACGTATTGTGATATGGAGTACTTCTTTGGCTAGTTTGAGTCGAGTGTCCTGTCTCTACTTCCTCTTGGCTTCCCCTCCTCCCTGGCAGAGTGTGAGACTCAGAAAGTCCTTGGTCAGACTAAAAATTACTGAGCAACAGCTAAAAGCATCGGTGTTATCAGCGCTGTTCCCAGGCTGAAAGTCAAAACCACAGCACCGCACCAGCTATTAGGAAGGAAAAAAATGACTGCTACTGCTGAACTTAGGACACTGCTTTAACCTACTAAACTTAGGCTTGGCTCATGAGTGGTCCTCGCTGACAAGTGTGTGCTACACTTGGAGTTTTAGTATCATGATTGTGACGGTGTGCCAAATCTGACACCTGCATGGTTTGATGATCAAACTGCATTCTGGAGAAGCAGATACTCTTACCTAATGATAGTGAACTAATGACTTCTTCATAAGTGAGCAAACTTTAAGGCATTTTCTTCTGGAGGAGCTGATAGTGACCACTGCTCTTCCTTCCTGCAAGACAAAATGCAAGTTTCTTTGGGTACTCTTCCATGTGTATTTACAAAGTATGTATTTCATACCCAGCAATAGATGTGGTTTTATTTGTTTTTTTTCTCTCTTGCCATAGCTGTACTGGTAGGAATGTCCTTAACAGTACCAAACAGCAGGGAAACAGAGAATCCAGAAGTGCTTCTGTCTTTCAGGGATGATCATCTACTTTTGTCAACATGTGTCCTATTGATCAGGATCTTATTTGGTGTAGCTTGAGTGTCCTTTACAGTTACCTCTGAAGTTGGACATGCAGAAACTGATACAGTAAACCACCCTGGAGGTACAGAAGTCTGATGTTGCTCTTCTGCTCAATAACAAAGCTTTTCAGTCACTTTGAAATGTGTCTTCTATTCTTCGGGTTTGACTTTGGAGAGGCTTTTCAGAGTCAGTGTTGGAGGTGATCATATCCCACTGGCTATAACAAGTTTTTACTTCCTATGTAAAAGTTCTTATGCACTAAAGCAGTATATTTTTAGTTCTTTTAAAACTTATGTACAGGAGAACTGACAGAACATTGGTTTTGTACCATGTGAAGCCAGCGTGGAACCTGGAGGCAACTTTTCTCAACGCTTTGTCACTCAGATGGACATTTGTATTCTTACCAATGAAATCAGCTTTATTACTGTGTGAACGCTGTCATTTGTCCTAGAGTGAAGCATTCAAGCCTTTCATTTGTGGAATTTTATATGGGTTTTGCAGATAAAGAGCCTTACCCATTCAGCACTACTTTGTCTCTCTCTCATGGATGTAGTTCCTCAAGTTTGAAGATGGAAATGATGCAGTCTATGGAATTGTCATCTCCACTAGCACATGTTAGTAGGATTTTCAGGCCTGTCCTGTCTGGCACTGACTCCAAATGCACCAGTGCCAACACACTGAAGAGTGCTAGTGCCGGTTTTACATTCAGTGTGGTATGTAGACCAGATTCTTCCTTGGATTCCCTTGTCCCAGTCATAACTTGAGGAAGAGATGAGCTCATTCTGTTGGAGTACCATCATTAATTATTGGTCTTATGCTAGGAATTCCTCTCAGAGTGGCTTTCGCTTCTGGTCTGATCCCTCAAATTTAGTCTTAGCCCTTTCCCGATCTTTCTTTTAACAAGTGTTTAATTGCTTTAGGGGATTTCTCTTTATTCCTCTTTGTTATGAAATAAAATGTCATACTTAATGTTTTGCAGCTGCTGAGCTATGTTTCTTTATCTTCCTTCTACATGCCATCTGTTTTAAAAGGAAGCATTAAACTATGGTTTGCAAGGCTAACTTGGTTATTGAGTTACTGATACATTCTGATGAATGGTCATGCAAATAAAAAGCATGGGCAATGCCGTTTGGCATCTCTATGTTGCCACTCTTCTGATCTTCCAGTTATGGGAGGTTCTTACAGGAGGAATCAGTGATTTTCTTGACTCCCCAGAACTCTTTGACATTGTCACATTGATTCTTCCCAGAGTTGGTCATCTAATATCCCTGCTGTAATAACTGACAAGTGGCAAGGTCCTGCTTACTTTCAAGAGTAACCAGGAACTGTAAATACTCCATATTTTTAATCATCGATCCTCCAGATAAATATCTTGATTTCTAAACAAAATCTGCAAGAAATGTGTAGCAGCTCTTATTAGAGAGCTATATGTTCTTGTCCTTCCTTATCCATGTTATTCCTGTAAGCAGCAGTTGCTATGATCACATCATTTGGCACTGGGCCCCAGAGCTTGTGACATGAATTCTATGTAACTGTCAGCTCACTGTGCGCTTGCTCATGGTTAACGCTAGTATCAGAATGGCCAAGTATAGCGTATCATTAACATGGTGTGTCAGATGACCTAGTGTGCCTCTGTGATCTGAAGTTATTTCCTGTGGAAGAAAAAACTGGCTTTCTATGTTAACAACTGCATACAATTGGATGGAAAGATAGGAAAATAAAACAGTGTTAACTGTAAGTAGAGTTAGTCAGTCTCTCAAAGGTTTGTTTTCTCAGCTGGGCTTGAATCTTGTTGCTATCCTTAGTCCTTCAGAATGAAATGCTGCATTTGTTTGGAATGTTAGATGTGTCTTTTTATGTGTGCCAGAAAAGCCTTCAAATAAAGTTACTTGTAGATATTTCTGTTTTCTTTTTACTATTTTAGAAAAAGAAAGTCAACTTAGAGGAGTTGACTCTGTGGATATTTTTGAGTGCTTAAGTGTGTAAACCTTTTACGACATTTCCTAAGGTAGACCTGCCTGTAGTTACCTGAGTACTAAACCGTAAGCAGTGCTAGTGCTGCCCATTGTAATGTGTAAGCCCATATGTGCAGTCATTGCCAGAATAGCTGTTCTCTTTCACCAACTACCGTGCCACTGCAGAGTTCTCCTAATGCTTGCCTAGCTTTTATTCAATCTAGGGTCTATAGGGTTCTCTGGTTTTTGAGGATTTCAAGCTGTGCTGCTGTTTACGATTGCATAAATGTATGTAGTAGAATGTACTCAGAATAAGCAGAAGGCCTGCTCACCAATAATAGGGTTCCTTAAGATCTCTCCAGTAGTTGTCCTCCAATCACTCTTGGTTCATTTTAGTGGATTTAAAGGCAGGGAAGAGGGTCATAAGGCACACACTGCTCTTACTGTAGCATTATGGCATTTGGGAATGCTAGGGTTTGTGTATGTTCCTACAAGCTAGTGTTGAGAAAAAACAACTGGTTTTCTAGTGCTAAGCTGGGAGGACGCTTGTGTGTGATTATACGGGTAACATGTTGAAGACCATTGCTGGTAAATAACCTTACTTTAAATTGTTCAATCTGTCTTTTTCTCAATGACCAGGATGTGCATGCCTTCATATTGAAATATGCTTGGGGAAAGAGAAATTAAATGCAAGATGTACACGTCTAGGCTCATCTTATTTTCTGCTAGGTATCCAGTTGCTATAGTAATAAAATACCAATTAAAAGTAACTGGGGTTGAGAAAACCAAGTTACTAGTGTCTGTGAATAATGAGGCCTGGTTTGGATCTGTAACTTTTCCAGTAACATGGATGTTAAATTTAACTGGAATGAAACTGCAGCAAAGAAAGTGAGGACATTTGAGTGGATTCTGATGGCTTTGCATGTCATCGTACAGTTTCTGATAGTACATAATACAGTGGCCTGCTCTTGAGTACTGTTTGGTTTCTGGGTTCTCTCAGTATAGCAAGCTGAGTCAGAGAAAGGTTTAGATAGAGATGAATTGAGCTTGGCAGGGTCCAATTTCATACTTTGTATATAAATATATATATTTTAAAATAATGCATATATACTGCCTGAAGAAAAGAGTGCTGTTATATAGGCATGTTTTGCAGATACAGTGTACTCTTCAGAGCTAGTAAATCTCTGTTTGGTCAGATCTCAATAGGAAAGCTTGGTGAATAGTGTTCCTTGATAATAGCCCCAAGTGTGAGGATGGTGTAGTGCTTGCAGTTGAGTCCTCTTACAGCCAGCTTTCTAGGCTGTTTACTAAGTGGCTATTATTCTAACTGAATTCCCTTTGCTAGGCAGGCATTGTTGGATTTTTTGTGTGAAAAGTGGAAACGCATGTGAATCAGTAATAAACCAAAAGTGTCCTGATTCTTGCCCACATATTAGGAGAGTGGGTTTGTCATGTTTGTTGTGGCTTTGAGATTGTATCAGTCGTTTCTTTTTCAAACATGAAGAGACATTTTTCCTAATATGAGATGTTTTCAGTTGTGTAAATAGTAATAGGTGAGGTTTCCAGTTTGGAAATTAGGTTTAAAGCTTTCAAGTTAATCTCTCAGAAACAAGCCAGCAAGGGCTGGAGCACTGCTCCTATGAAGAAAGGCTGAAAGACCTGGGGACGTTCGGAAGTAAAGATTCCGAGGAGACCCTAGAGCAGCCTGCTAGTACCTAAAGGGGCTGACCAGGGATCTGGAGAGATAATTTTTAGAAGGACATATAGGGATAGGACAAGGGAAAATAGCTTTAAACTCACAGAGGGTAGAGTGAGATTAGCTCTTCAGTATGAGGGTAGGGAGGCACTGGAACCCAGAGAAGCTGTGGTTGCCCCATCTCTGGCAGTGTTCAAGGCCAGGTTGGATGGGGCTCTAAGCAACTCGGTCTACTGTAAGGTGTCCCTGCTAATGGCAGGGAGCTGGAACTAAATGTCTTTAAGTCCCTTCCAACCCAAACCATTCTATGAAAACATTTTCAACAGCTTGTTGTAAACTCCTTAACTAACTACTGCGAAGTAAAAGTGAAGGCCAACTTCTTGGCTGCTTTTGTGGACTTGCATCAGGTTTTGGACAGGCTAATAGTTTCCTTTGCTAACATTGAGTTGACATAGAGAATTGGAATTTTTTGAGTGCTGCATGAGAATGAAAATGTTTGAGGAAGCATTGAGTCTGCTTCAGTTTCTGGGCTTGACACTTGTATTCTGGTTCTTAGCATGAGTCATGGCTAAAGTGCTCCAGGTGAAATTTTGCCTATACTGACAGTAGTATCATCAGCCAGGGATCTATCACATATTCTGAGACAATATTTGCTTGGTATAAGTCTAGTCTATTTGTTGAGGGCTTCTGTAGTTGAATGTTTTGATAAGCTTGCTTTCTCCCACTAGCCTGTGTGAGGTATCTGGATGCAAAAAGAGAAGGTAGAGTTTTCCAAATGCCTTGTGCTGTCTCATAGAAGCTAAAGCGTTGAATTTTTTTTTTTTTTTAAATTTGTTTCAGTTAACTACTTATAAACCAGCCACTAACCCTGGGAATTTTAAATATACTCTTAGTCTCTTTGGCTTTTGGCTGTTAGTGGTTAATAAATAATATCCTTTCAGTTGCTGTATCTTTAGTAATCTGTATCTTGAAGTCTGAAACTTGAATCTCTTTAGTGTCTCTTCTATGAATTGAAGCAAAAAGAAATGCTCCCATGTATTATATGTCCCTGGATGGTAGCTTCACTATTTTGAACTAAAACTTCTGTGCAGCTCTTTCCAGACAAAGACAGCACAATGGCACATGTCAAACAATTCTTCCTTGTATGGGTAGCCTTTTCTACTGTTACCTATTATCTATAAGTGAGACCTCATTTTGCATTTCAGAGTTGATTTTAATCTGTGCTTTTATCTAAAAGACAGGCATGAGTTCAGTTATGGGATATAGTCAAGTTATGTAAAATCTCTGCCTTTTGATTCCTTAATATAACTACTGCATTAGTTCACTTGTTGGAGCTCAGTTCTTTGGAGTAGGACATCCTGGCAGCTAGATTGGTGGGGTTTTTCTGGGTTGTTTGTTGTTTGTTTTTTTTTTTGAGCAACTACACCTAAGTTGTACTTCTTCCACAGGAGTCTTAGTTTAACATTACCTTTTCATTCAGGTGTGCTTTTTATCTTGGCGAATCAAGGAAAAGACTGAGCCGAGAATGGGCCTGTTCTGCAGAATACTGAAAAAAAGAATTCTGCAGTGAAGCAGTTCTTAGTGCTGAAATTCTAAAGAAAATATTCTGTCCATTCTGAAGTTTAGATCAGGTTTAAGAAGTGGTTGTTCCCACTCAGTCTGTAACTCTCAACTTCGTGCATTACTTGGCCTTGAAATGTTTGAAGTGTTGATTAAAATACAGTACCTGAATCAAATTATAAGTGTCTGTGGAGAGGTTATAAATATGTTTGTATTGAGTGAATTGCCATCACTATGTAACCTGATTTTTTTTTTAAGCATTATATTCACAGATTTAAATTAATTTTCAGCTCCATTTACCCCTCAATTCCCCTCTACCTGGAAGTGAGTTGACTAAGGAACCCTTTCGATGGGATCAGAGGTTATTTGCTTTGGTTCTCCGTTTGCCTGGTATTACAGCACCAGAATCAGAGCAGATGACAGGGGTACCGGTGGATGACTCTGCAATCACACCTATGTGTGAAGTCACAGGAGGTGGGTGCCCTGGTTTCCTTTGACAAGTCAGTACTTTTGTAAATGAAAATTAGTTCAATTTATTAAATTTATTAATCATGTACATGTTGTGGAATAAGTATTTCCAAGTTCTCATATTACTTGTAAAAACTCAGAACTCCAATATAATAAAATTAAAGACACTTACTGCATTAAAGCTACAGACAGTTTAATGTATCCTGCCTTGGAAGAATGGGAAATCTACTTTCCTTAGCTGTTTCTTAGAAGAGAAAACTTAATTTTTTCCAATACATCTTGGTATCACAATTAAAAATTGTAAAAATTGTTGTTTCTGCAGTACAGTTTTGCTAAATTCCTGTCATACTCTGATCCAAAGAAGCCAAAAGTGAAGGAAATGTGTTGGGTTGTTTTGGTTTTGCCCTCCTCTTTAGAACATGCAGAATGCAATGCAGAATTCCTGTAATGCAGATGTATAATAATTCTGCAAAATCAATACTTTTCTCTCCATCATAATTTATAACTGATATTCTTATTATATATCTTAATTATAATTTTAATTACAATCTTAATTATAATTTTAGAAATTATATTCCAGATAAAACTCAGGCATTTATTTTATAATTTGCTCGTGAAAGTTTTTGGTGTTATCAGCTACTAGAAACGTGACTTTTCTGATGTGTTGGAGAGCAAAGGAATTTAAAAAACATTCCAAAACAATTTCATTCTCCTGCTTTGTGATTGTCATGTCAGGCTATACTGATGGGGCTTTGACTGAAATTCCTAGACAGTTTAAGTGTTTATGTCTGTCACAAGGGGGAGCCCATTTTCCGTGAATGCAGCCAAGAATTGGAGCTGAAGTCATTGAGGGGCTAAAACCCGAACATTTCCGATGAGGTGCATGTAACCCTGTCACTGCTTCACTAGGCTGCCTTTCTGCTTAAAGACAAGAGTGTTTGGGAGAAGCTTTAAATGAATGATCTGTAGATAAATCAATGTGTATGGTGGGGTGAACAGTTTTAAATGATCCAAGTTAAAATTAGGGATAGAAACCATGGACAACTTCACTCTTGACTGTTTTATTCTAGGTCGATCATACTGTGTGTGCTCCCCAAGAATGCTGAATCAGTGTCTTGAGTCATTGGTGCAAAAAGTGCAAAGTGGAGTGGTAATAAATTTTGAAAAAGCTGGACCAGATCCCTCACCAATTGATGGTACTTGACATTTTTTACAGCGTGGTATCGAATGGCAGGGACGACTATCAATATAACTTAGTGAACTTCATGGAATAGTTGACAAAAGATAAAATGTTGTAATTTAAAAGACATTACTATAAAAAAGGACCTGTTCTGTCTATAAGGGTGTTGTACTTTATCAGAATTCTGGCTATAGGTGCTACACACTATGTAAAACCTCTACATTTGGTCGTGTTGCTCAGGTAGTCTTAAATGCAGTTCTTCATATCAAGGATAGTTTAATGGATTCGTGAATTTTAAGCAGTAGTTCCAGTTAGAAATGTGAAGAGCTTGATATGGAAATACTGTGGGTTTATGCACATATCCTTCTTTTTAATGTAGTAAAGGGGTTGCATTAAGAGTTAAAATAGCAAATATGACTGTAGAGCCTTCACTAACTTCTCATTCTAAATGGCTTCTAAGCTGTGTCTTAGGATGTTACTGTGAAGTGCTAGTGGTATATTTTTTATTATCCTGCTTTGCTGCAATAAAAAGTCTAGTAGTATTAGTCATATATCTTTTATTTTTGTATGCATGGAGATTTGAAGGTTGTCTGTTCATAATAATAGGAGGATAAAGAATATGGTTACTAAGAAGGGCTCCAGATAATTGGCTTTTTCAGCACTGATCCTGTAAACATTCAATGCTTATTTGATTTCTCGTAGTTTCTGGGTTTTTGCAGAAATGTTTACTGACAACTGTTTGCTATTCTTAGAAATAATATTAACTGCAGGAAGAGCTTCCCTGGGGGTAATATTTCTTAAACTTCACAGAAGTTATTTAGTATTCTTTCTGAGTTTTAACACTATTGTGACTCATAAAGCTTATTTCTTCTGTAGATGGGCAGGTGGATATATCTAGACCCTTTGGACCCCAACCTTGGCACAGCTGTCACAAACTTATTTATGTCAGACCCAACCCTAAAACTGGGGTTCCTATAGGTCATTGGCCTGTTCCTGAATCCTTTTGGCCAGATCAAAATTCTCCAACGCTGGTATGTACTGAAGTTAAAGCAAAGGATTGTGCACGGGGGAATATTTCATGATTTCCTGTTAACTGATTTTTAAATGTTAAGAGATGTGCTTAATTTTAGCAACTGTAAAAACAGTGTGACCCAAGAAGGAATGACACTTTTGAACCAGTTTTGCAGTTCAGTTGGATAAATTACTGATGAGAAAATAATATTACAGGGTTTCCTTTTAGTAACTTTGAAGCATTGAGAAACTGCCCATACAGATTTGTCAACTTAGTACATGCCCGCAGTGATTCTGTTTGGACTCTGTTAAAATATCAAACCAGAAATATGGTGGCCCTTTGATAATAGCCTATCAAATTCTATTGCCTTGCAGACGGTACTAAGAGAAGGCAGTATTATCTTCCCAATTTCAAATCCCTGTGGTAGCTTTGTCTTCATTCTAGCAGTTGAATGCAATTTTATCTGCTGTTGTGCAGTGTAGTTACACCTTCAATTTATCCCAAGTGGAGAAACTCATCTTTTTTTTTTTTTTTTTAAATACTGCTCACAGAATTAATTTTACTTGCATTTTTTATAAAAATGTAGGCCACTGTCTTTTCTTTGGTCTGAGAGCTAATCATTAGTATGTTTTTTTGTATTTCTGCTAATCATTGAAGTCGAAATAATGCAGTTGTATAATTGTTCCCTATATTTTATGACAATTTGTATCAAATATTTTAGGTTTTTTTGATCTGAAATTAGTGTGCTGGCTAGCAAACTGATTGGACTTTTAGTACATTTTTTCATCTTCTTTGTTTAAAAAAAATATGAAGTTCTTTGAAATAATATTGTTGAGGATTGATACAAGTATGAAATTTTAGTCATATTTGCAAGTTTGATATTGCTGGTGTCTGTGGCCACATTCATTGAAGGATGTGGATGCCTTCCTGAACTGTAAGTTAGCATATATGAATAAAATTAAATCTTCTGTAGTAATTTAAAAAACAAAATGTCATTGTTTACTAGATACTAACAAGTTGCTCTGTATGAAAACTGTCCCTTGTGCTCCTTGTAATCACTGTCAGTGGCATATCTGCCTCCATTCACTGTAGAGTCAGTACAGTTTGCCTACTGCTGCAGATTTTGATCGAGATTGTTAAAACAGATCTTGCCAAGTGAAGAGCTGTTGAACTCAATCTGCTAAAAACATGAGGTTGACTTTGTGAGAAGATGAGAAAAAAATTCTTCTGTCAGTTTCAGACTGTATAGCTCCCATAACTGCATAAAGCACTGGATTATTGCATATGCATCTAAATTCCTGTTGACATCAATTAAAATTCCACATTTGAACCTTCCTTATGCAATGTTGGGGCGCTAAGTTTGCTGATAGTGTTGCAATACTTCTATTTCCTTAGTGTTCTGAAAATACAGTGTTAAAATTTAGCATATGTTGTAACTCTTGTCTACTTAAGAGTCTGTAGTTAGGTATTTTTTATTTCCTGCCTGTTATCTGATCCACAGTACAGTTTCTCAAACAGAGCTACCCCAGCAACTGTTTTGTGAACTGTAGGTAATGATACTTTCAAGTATCATTGGGAGATTAACATGTAAAATGGCTGCTCCCATTGCTCTGAGGAGCAGTTGTTCTGTCCAGCCAAGAGTTATTTGACTTCTCAAGTCTTAGCACTGAACTTCTTATGCAGCTTTTTTTTATTCCTAGTGTAACTGCTTCATGGCTTGGTCAAAAACTCCAACACAACTATTTACTGCAGGCATCTTCTTTGAAGAGAATTGCAGTTCCTGCAGTTGGTTTGGCCTCCTGTTTTGTATGCACTTGGACAGTACACCTTCTCAGAGTGGAGACACTCAAGGCAAGACCAACTTTATGGGCAGATAACATTTGGGTGGCCTATCCTAAAAGGAAGAGGCTGGATCTTGTAGACGTAGAAAAATTACTTTCCAGGTGAGGTGATAGGAAGGTCCAAGAAACCCTGTGTTTCCTTAGTTGATCTTACGTATTTATTAGCCACCTTCTTGTAAAGAGAATAAATGGAAGGAGCCTTCCCAATTGAGCTCCTCCCCAGATTCTAGTGGCATTGAAGGAGGCTCAGGGTAAGTATAAGAGCTTACATTCCTGTCCTGAAAAACATTCAGTAGAAGATGTACAGCTCCAACCATCATCACGCAAGAAACCAGCTTTCTCTTTCAGCTAAAGAAATTTCAACTGTTGTTAACTTATACTTGAAATTTGAAGTACAGAGGTCTTTTTCCTTTGATTAATAAAAAGGTGAAAATCCAAGCACTTAAATTGCTTGAATTGAAATACTTTTTCACAGGCTTAGTTAAAATGCAAGTTCTTCTAAAGCCTGGTTGTTGGTTTTTTTCTAAGTTCATGCTGCTGTTGATCGTTAGAATTCAGTTTGAATTTTATAACTGTTAAATTTGCCAAGAAGGAAAAGTGCTGGAGGAAGTCAGCAGATGCAGAAGTACAGTGCCTGCTTCTGTCGGAATAAAAATGGGCACGCCCCAGAGAAGCATTGAAGAGGTTTTTTGTGTTTGTTTTTTTTTTGTTGTCCTCCCTGCAATTTAATTCCATTTGCAAAGTTTTTGTGTATATGCAAGAAGTTTTACCTCTGTACTCTGATGTTTTAGACTTACCAGATAAAATAACTGATGCTTATATAGAAAATAAGATTTCTTTAGATTTTGAGACAGTGCTAACATCATAAATGAATTGCTTAGGACTCATTAACAATACGTATGAATCCTGTATTGAATTAGGCTCCTTAAATATGACTGTTTTCAGAGAACATGTATTGCTTAAGTTGTCATAGCACCATCGTATTTTAATCGCTGTGCAGACTTATTAACAGTGGAATGCTTATGTTTAGCCACCTCGCACATCTCATCCTGTGGTGAAATTTTCCTGTACTGACTGTGAGCCGATGGTAATTGACAAACTGCCTTTTGATAAATACGAGTTAGAACCTTCACCACTGACCCAGTTTATCTTGGAAAGAAAATCCCCTCAGACCTGCTGGCAGGCAAGTAGAGTGCATGGTGAACTGAAGTTATTTATAAAATGTTGTTTTTCATAGACTTTATTCTGTAATTAAAATAGGATGTAAAATTTCAGCACATACAACATAATGTGGGGTTTTTTTATTTACATACAACATAATGTTTTTTATTGCAGGTATATGTGAGCAATAGTGCAAAATACAGTGAACTTGGTCATCCTTTTGGGTACTTGAAAGCTAGTACAGCGCTGAACTGTGTGAATTTATTTGTGATGCCTTACAATTATCCAGTCCTCCTTCCACTGCTAGGTAAAGACAACTTCATAATAGTTTTCTTAGGTGGTAGGCAATTGAAAAATTGATCTCATCTAAGCAGATTACTGCAACTAATGGCAGTATTAATCACACACCTGTAGAAAGGTAGCATGTTGAGCAATGTCATCAGTAACTTGTTTCACTTGTCACCAATTGATTACTCTGTGACTCAGACTCCGTGTGAGATGTTTTAATTAAAGTATGCTTTGGTCTCACTTCTTTCATTATTTTAGGAGCTATTTTTCCCCATCAGTCTGTCTCAATTACAAATTTGTTTTGATAAATAATTTATTAAGTTCATCCTTTGGCTTTTTTTTTAACTTGTGTGTGTATATACTTAGTCATGTACGTGTTAAAATATATACGTTAACTTCAGCATTGAAGAATTTGTTTCTTTGAGAGTTTCTTTTATTAGAAAAAATGATGCAATGCTGCTTAGACATGTCTTTCATTTTGTCTCTTCTTTTTATAACCATCAGATGACTTGTTTAAAGTACACAAGGCAAAGCCTACATTGAAATGGCGACAGTCATTTGAAAGCTATTTGAAGACAATGCCTCCATATTATCTTGGGGTAAGATGACTTACTGTGTTAGAACTTCTATTTTATCATGTAACTGTAGTTATCTTTTTACTATGGGTATATTCCCTATTTAAAGTAGAATATCTATTAATAAAGAATAGCTAGACTTTGTGCATAATGATACTTGCTGTTTTAACTGGAGTCCTGTGGAAGTCTTGAGACTTGAACATTATGACAGTTTCATCAGCTGTGACTCATATATAAATTATATTTCTGTTAATTGATTCTATATGAATGGAGCAGTGCTTTAAAACAACAAAAAATGCTTCCGCGAAGGTCTTTGGTTTTCTGACTTTGAGGACCTCATGTTCTATTTGCAATGAATACATTAGTTGACGTATACAACACTTGAAAAGTTAAATATGACTGTACAATATATTCATGTTTCAGCCTTTGAAGAAAGCTGTGAGAATGATGGGAGCACCAAACCTTATAGCTGACAATGTGGAATACGGACTTAGTTACAGTGTCATTTCCTATCTCAAAAAGTTGAGTCAGCAGGTAATGTTAAAGCAGAAGAGCAGTAAAAGCTTATTCTAATATCAGGATGATCTTAAAATACTCAAATTCAGTGGCTTTGAAGGAAGAAAGAGCAGAAATATCAAGTTAATAACTTCCCATAAGCAGTTAGCAAAAAAGCATTTTGGTTTTCAGAATTGAAGGAAAGCTTAACATTTAAATAGACCATGTCTGGACTATGAAGATATAGATATGGAGGTACAAACTGAGAATGGTTTGGGGTTTTTTTAAATAATATGTTTTAGGAGCATTTTTACTTGTAGAGATGGTAACATATTTTTGTCCAAAAGAAAACATGTTGTCTTTGATGTTAAAGATGTCATAGTATTTTTTCAGAAAATACATATTTGTACTTTGTGCATCAGAATCAGAAAATGTCTTTTCTTTGGCTTGTAAAATGAAATGGAAAGTGTTCAGTAAATACAAGCTGACAAAATTCAGAATCTCAAATAAGGATACAGATGTAGAAGCGGCAAGTGACCTTTTGAAATTGTTGACTGTGTTCACAGTAGTGCCCTTATCTTTGATAAATCTCCTGCACCAGCAAAAGCATTTCTGCCCTGCTACCTCTGCTTTTATTTTGTTGAAGCTTTCTCATTCAAAATAATAAAATGATGCAGTAGGCTTGAAACTTCAAGAAACAGCAGTGCAAATACTCGTAACTTAGCTAATGAGTTCTTATGGACCAGCTTTTTCTTAAAACATTAACATAGATGATTATTGGTGGAAGCAAACCTCTTGAAGTTTACAGTATATCCTGTTAAATCGTAATCGTACTGCTCAGTATTCTGTGAACTGATCTCTCAATTTAGGCATCTTAGACTCCTATAATGTAATAGCATGCACTGCAAATTGTACCTAAAGTTTTCTAACTTCTGAAAGGCACTGCCAGTAGTACTCAGCATTCTTAAAAAGTAAAAATTCAGGTTTTGATTAGTCTGTAAATTTATGTGCATCTGCAAAACCGACATTGGCAGGTGTATTGCTAAATTACTTTTGGTTCTTTGTTCAACTGTATTTTGCCAAAAAATCTGGCATTTATGAACATGTTTGATTTTGGTACAAATCTGACATAATATTTGGGGATAGATCTGTGTAATCAAACAGAATTGGGTATTATTGTGCATTTATTTATTAATGTTATGTCTATTCATATTGTGGTTTTAAAAAGGTGATTCCATTGTGTGACTGATCGCAACTATAGTTGTGGGAGAATCAGTCTTTTGAGAGTTACAGTGTTTAGCTGTTATTGTAGAAAAATCTATTAGAGTACACAGAGAGATTTGCAGAGCATTACTAGTCAAATTACGGCATTTTATGAAAATAAAAGCATTGCATGCATATTGGTGCTTAGATACCATAAAGGGCAGCAGAGGAGAAATATGCAGAAGACCTAGGCACAAACTGTTCACTATATTTAAAATTGTAGTAAGCATTAAGTGGTATGTATTAAGCACTCCTTAAGCACTCATCCTGGTTATGGTCGTCATAGTTTATTAGCACATTGTTGAATCTTCTAGGTAGGAATTTAAAATGAATAAGTCTGACTAATCCTTTTAAGAGCATATTGTCAATTTTATTTATTTATTTATTTCAAATTAAGGCCAAAATAGAGTCCGATAGAGTCATTGGCTCTGTAGGCAAAAAGGTAGCGCAAGAGACTGGAATTAAGGTCAGAAGCAGATCACACAACCTGTCTATGGCACATAGGAACGATTTTCAACATCTGCTACAGGGGATTACTGGGGAAATTCCTCATAGACCTCTAGACCTCAATATGAAGGAGTATGCTGGGTTCCAAATAGCTTTGCTGAATAAGGTAAGCACCACTGTGTGTAATGTTGTTATTTTCAATATACTTCCATTGAAATGCTAGATATTGTTTCATGCACAGTATTAATTGGAACTTTATTTATTGGGACCATAGGATGTGAAACCTCAGACTTTTAGAAATGCTTATGACATACCCAGAAGAAATCTTTTGGATCAGTTAACACGAATGAGATCTAATTTACTGAAGAGTACTCGCAAGTTCCTCAAAGGACAAGATGAAGGTTAGACAACAATTTAGTTTTTGTCTACCTGTGATATGATTGGTGCTAAAAAAAAATTGAAGACGATAACAAATAGGGTAGTGCTTTAAAATTTAGTGGGTGTCTGATACTGCCATTAAACTGTGTGGATATTCTAGGCTTTTCCTTAAGTAACTTACTGGAAGAAAAAACGGTGAGGGGAGGAAGATTGCAGGTTCACTGCTCTGTCCTTTGGTCTGTATGAGGAGACTGGGGCTTTTATGTAATTTTTTTTTCGCTGTTTTTTCCACCTGTCATGGGTATCCGAGGGAAAAAGTCACAGGGCAGTTCTGAACATTATGATCTTTCTTCATAGAAGTGTATTGTGAGCAGTGGAAAAGTAAGCTTGCTCACTGGGTGCTGCCAGTGTGATCCTTTTGCCCTTCAGGCCAACATCAAATAGTTCAGTAGTCTGCTAATTTATTCCTTTACCTTTCTACTGTGTCTTCTGGTAGTGCTTTACAGCATTTAACAGAAGATGATGAAATAAGTGAAGAAAATGAGAAGGGCAATGCAAGTGAAAGGCACTTGCATGTTACATTAGTTCTGCCACTACTAAGGTCAGATTAACATCTGTGAGCAAGTGATAATGTAATGTGACATGCAGAGAAGTTGCTCTTTAGGGAGGGAGTTAAACCACATAAAACCTAATGTTATTTCTGGTATTTCTGTTAGTGTACATTTTACTTGATCAAAGGCTTGGCAACTTTAAATCCATAACAAGTTTAGAATCAGGTCCTAAGGATTTTAAGAATTTGTTGATTTCAGTGGCCAAAAATCACTGTTTCTTTGGGAAAATGCCAGTCTCAATTAAATTCTGGGTGGCTAAAACTGGGAGAGTTATGTCAAAGCTGTATGTAGCATGGCATTGCTACTTTGCATTAATGTATCTTTTGTTTGTAGTAACGTTTTAGTTACAATTTGTTCCGGATCTTAGTTTTTTCACCCATCTACTTTGTTGAAAAGTTATGGGACATATTGGAAAACTAATATCCATGCATGGCAACTATTGTTTATTTTACCCTGTCATAATGATAAATATGCAAGACATATTTAAGCAAGTTTCCTGCACGCAAACCATGATGTTATAAATACCAGTTAGGCAAGAATAATGGTGAGTGTTGCACATCTATTTTATTAATGCATTTGATAGAATACTGAAAACTGGACTTGTGAAGTGGATATAGACTAAATTGTCATAAGGTGAGCAGTATAATGTATTAATAAACCCTTCTGTTATGGTAGACCAAGTTCACAGTGTACCTATAGCACAAATGGGAAACTACCAGGAATATCTAAAACAAGTACCTTCTCCACTCCGAGAACTTGATCCTGATCAACCACGAAGGCTTCATACATTTGGCAATCCATTCAAATTGGACAAAAAGGTGACTCTTCTGTAAAGCTTTTCAAAAAATGTGCTTGTGGGTGTGCATGGGTGTGCGCTTCTGATTTGACCATTCAAAGAGCAATATAGTGGAGAAATACTTTCAAGTGTTTGGGCAAGTACTGCTTACAAGAGAGTGTCTTGGATGTTTGTCCATCGATACGACCCTAAGGAGGGCAGTCTTTATTGGAAATCCAGTATTATGCCTCTGAACGATATTAAAAATGAAATAAGTTTGTTGCTGTAGTATAGCTAATATCTATCTAATCATGTTTCCTTTACCAAACTTCCCCCATAAAAAGCTTCCCATAATTCTGAGAGCTTGGACTCTCCCTTCTGTCCATATCTGTCTTTGACTTGATCACATTGCCGATACCATTTTGAGCTGCTCTTTTAAATGCTTGAGTCATTTTGCAATTTACTGAAAAGAAAAGCTGGACAGCTCACTCAATTGTCTTGGCAGACTGTTGGCTGGATAAGGGCCTTTAAGCACATTGATTTGGTCTAGGAATGATCTGATCGACATTTTAGAGTTCAGTGCATAAGGGTGTGTTGTACGTGGTAAACAGCATCATATGCATGGTATACAGCATGGTATACAAAGCATTAATTGTCTTTAATATGATGAGGGTATGGCATAAAGTTTATTAATTTTCCCCATTAATTTAATTACAGGGAATGATGATAGATGAAGCAGATGAGTTTGTATCAGGGCCTCAAAATAAACATAAAAGACCTGGAGAACCAAATATGCAAGGGATTCCGAAACGACGACGCTGTATGTCACCCCTGCTCAGAAGTCGACCACAAACTCCTCCAGTTGTGAATAATCACATTGGAGGAAAAGGGCCACCAACACCAATCACACAAGCACAGCCTGACCTTGTTAAACCTATTCCTGTTCACAAAAGTAAGTGAATCTTTATTATCTTTAGAGAGTTTGGATTTTAGTTTATGCAAAAAACTTATTTATGTAAAAATGCCTTTGGCTGATTTCCCAAATATGGCTATTTTATCTCTCATTTTTGAAATGAGGTATTTATTATCTGGAGTTAATGACAGAGACAGTTAAGATAGTCTTTCCGACCGAAGTCTCTTTCATATGAACTTCCCACTATAAACAATGTGTTTCCTGTACTAAAAGAGGAGACAATGTAAACAGTCAGAAGGATGTTTGTCCTTTGCCTGGGAATTCAGATGCTCCAGAAGTATCACAACATGAACTTAATTTGGATTTTGCTGTAGCTTGGTGAATTCACTTCCCTTAGAGTGGAGTTGAGGTGCTGTGTAACAATATTGTTCACTGTTCAGCCCTGAAGTGAACCTTGTCAGTTCAGTGTAATATGGGAAAACAAGCATGTCATAAAAGCACGTTTTACAGGTGCTTTTTCTTTTGCTGGTAGTCCATATAGCAGTTTCCATATTCATATAAAGAATATGCTTGTGATTTTTTTTAAGCCATTAATTGCCAGGAGGTTATAGAGATCTGCTCAGTGTTACAATTCACAAACACCTTTTCTTATGACTGGTGTGTACACTAAAGTATATAAGCTGGAGCATAATTTTACGAGAGTTTAGTACTGAACTGATTCATAGACTTCTATCAGATGATAAAGAATGTGAAACTGGCAAATGTATCTTTATTTTTTTCAGCATCAGAAACAAATAATGAGGTTACAATAGATGATGTGGTTGAGAATCATGTTACAGATACACTTTCATCAGATGTTTTCCCAAATACTATGGATTCAGAGTTTTCAACGTCCTCTTCTTTGTTCAATTCATTGGATCGACCAGCAGCTCATACAGAGGATGTAGGCCATGAACATTTAGGGAATAACATGAATGTTGATGGGTTTCTGGAGAATCATGAGGAATCGGGTAGTAAAGAACAAAGTACTGAAGAGAACTTGCCAATGTCTTCACCCAGCAAAGGGAAAAAGCCAGTGCATTGCAGAAGTTCCAGAGAGATTAATATAGAGCTAAGAGCACAAATCATGAAAGAAATCCGAAAACCAGGAAGGAGTAAGTATATAAAATCTTTCCTTGAGGTGATTGGCGTGAGAGTTAGACAAAGAATTCATATTAGATCACTATTTTGGGAACATATTGAACCATGAGACTGGAGCAAAAAAAATATAAAACTGAAAAGATTTGTTCTGAAACCTCTGCCATAAACTTCCTGGGTAAGTGATTAAAACATTGCTCTACCTATCAGTGTTTATGAAAGTCAAGTTTTTTTGTATTATTGATATTAAAATGAACTTGTTAGATATTCCAGTAACATCCTAACTGCAATATCCTGTGGTTTTTTATGTTAGTGTTTATTAAACAGTATATCATTGCTACAGGTCTGGTTGATAGGTAATATATCCTAAAAGCTTACAAAAGCAAAATGAAATGTGTTGCATTTCACTCAGATCTATGACAACAGATATCTGCATAGGCATTTAAGTAACTGTGATTTTGCTCTTCTCTTTAAGAATATGAAAGAATCTTCTTTTTACTAAAGCATGTACAAGGAAGCTTACAAACCCGACTGATATTTTTACAAAATGTTATTAAAGAAGCTTCAAGGTAGGTAACTGAACTGTATTAATCTTCTAAAACTGCACCATGTACTGCCATACATAACTGCTTGACACCAATGCAGTTCTTTGTTTGAAACTTGCCACAGTGTTTTACACCGCAAGTAAATAATTCCCTAGGAAATGAACAGAAACACGTAAACTTCCTGATGTGTGCAGTTTGCACAAGCTTACCTTTTTGCCTGAGATTTTTGTCTTAATGTTAGCAGCCGTAACTGCTGAATTGCCAGAAATGTAGATGGACAATGGCATAGAAAGAGAAGTTAACTATAGAAAGTGCTTCAGGTTCCAAAGTTCAGATGTGAGCATACTGCTAATTTGAAAAACTTGATGGAACTGAATGTTGCTGTGAATTAGGCTTCCAGAAACAGTTGAAATTCAGTATTCTGCATCAACTCAAAATCTTGTCCTAAAACCGATTTTGAGATCCAGGTATGTTCCATAAAGATTGGTCTTCAGATGATGCATTTCCTTGAAAGTCCTGTCTGAGGCTCTGGAAATGAGAGGTAGTTTGTCACTGGAGTGGAGAGACTTGCTGAGGATTTAAACCCGGTGTTGTTAATGCAGGCAGAAACTGTACGTTAAAGCATCCTTAGACTGACCATACTTGCTTGGCCTTCTAGAGAAAAGAAAGGAGAAATGTGCAATTATGATTGGAACCTGCAGTGTTTGAGTTGAAGTGAACTAATAATTCCAACATCTTGCTTGGATCATAGATATAACTGTAACTTTGAGGCTTATTTCAGAAGGCCATGTAGGTCATAGTCTGTATATTACACATGCTTCCTCACTGTCTCAGGACACCAAAACAGTATTGTTTCTTCTGGAATCTGGGGCAGTCCTTAATGGGATTGGAATATTTATGCCTCTGAAGTTAGGCTCTTTAGATAATCTGTAATTTTTATCTCTGTTGCACAGCCTCTCTATTCCAATCATCTTGAGTTGAATCCCTACAAAATTTGGCAAAAGTTGAATGTTGCATCAGAATTAAATCCTACCTCCCACCATATCCAACAGTTCACTGTATCTGCTGGTGGAAAAGGTTGGCAATTCTGTTTCTGTTGAGTGTTGTTAAACTTTAACTGTTACTGGCTGGAGTGCAGGAACAGCTTCATATCTCCTTCCTCTTCTCTCTTAGGTTAGATTTTTATAGTGTGGTCATGTTATCTAACTGAATAACACTGTTTACAATCCCTGTGCAGTTCTCTGCTGCTTTCTTTACCCAGGCAAGCTCATTTGACCAAGGTTACTGGTCCCTGCAGAAAACTTCTCTAGGCTCTCCAGAGTTGTCAAAATCTTGTTTTGTTAACTGATAGCTGACCTTCACAGTGCCATGGAATTAAATTCAAATTTAGGATGCCTGCTTTCTTTCCCTGCTCCAAGGATCTATAAGCTCTCAAGCATTTCAGCAACAAAGTGTGTGTATAAAACAGTCCTGGTTCAGTTTTGGAGGTTAGTTCACTAGAGAGTTATGAAGAGAGAGGAGGATTTCTACAACAATCTGCAGTTTTCAGCTTCCTTTGCAAACCGACTACCTCACAGTTCCTCTTCTGGTAGCAGAAAAGCTATCACTTTGAGAGGCAGAAATCAAGATGAGGTAGATAATGGGTTTTGTTGTTGTTGTTTTCTTTCTTACATTCTTCCATTTCTTCAATTGTGAAAATACTAAAGCTGAGGAGATAACACATCTCTATTTCAAATACTTTGCTAGTCTGACAAAGACTTTTCAAATGCTTAGTGACGCACATTTGGCTCAGTCCTTACTGAACACAAGAGACACATCTCACCAATACATGGCTGTAACTTTGGAGGATGAAGAGCTGTTTAGGAAGAGGCTAAAAAGAATTAGCCTAGGTAGTGGAAAAGACTTCAGTATTTCTGCAGTTGGCATAGCAATCCATTTATGGTCCTAGCACTAAGAATAAATTTATTTTTTTTATTCTCTGCTAAATAGCATAGAACAAAATCTGACAAAACGCATAGTAACATTCCTCAAATCAACCAACTTCTCATTATAAAAAATTCAATTCCTGTTCAGTTATTCTTTAAATTAAGAGCTTTAAGCTAACAATGCACAGAGCAAAGCCCAAAGTGTTTACCTAGGCAAAACGCTGAGCAATACCCGCTTGTGATAAAAGTGTTGGCAAGAATTCATACAACCAATTACAAAATAATAATGAAGCTTTAAGCTCAATAGCTACTCAAGGAAGTTCTATTATTAAGGGTACTGATATTCCTAGTAGAGTGAGCAGTTGAATTGTAGTCAGTGCTTAAATATGCTAATTATAATACTTTATGTGGTAAATTGTTTCTGCTGCCTTGAAAAAAAGTTGTTTGCTGCAGCGTTCAGCATTTGGAAAGGAACTTTCAGTGAGATGTACTGAAGGGCTTGACATAGTGCACTGTAAACCCAAATTCTTGTGCCAACAGTAAGGTGAGAATAGTTAGCAATGTGTTTTTTCTCCACTTTCCATCAGGTTTTAAGTTTGTGGGAATTATCTGCTGCTGACTTGTACAGCTGCTTCAGGGAGGCTTGAAGGTATTCTGGGAAGTAACATTGCCCAGTCACTTGCACAGAATATGAGCATGCTAAATTTTCACTGAGTTTTTATGTATTATAGCACTGCTGTTAGCTTAAGGCTTTTGCTAGAGGGAATAAGAATGAATAATTGTCTGTTTTCCAGGTTAATGCTTTTCATTAAGCAGGGAGCAGTTGTGAAAGTAATGAGGAAGAATGGAGGGGAAGCAGTAAGTGAAGTGTGGGATTTCCATGGGGTTACTGAGGAGAACTGTGATGAGAAAGATGGGAAAGGGCTCAGAGCACAGGTATTCACAAGATAGTATGTGCTTGGGAATGGGAGCTTGTTTCCCAGTAGTCAAGCTGGGATTGTGGGGAGGTCTGTGGTCTGGGAATTAGGGGCAGATGCCATATTTCTGCGAGACAAGAACATGGCCTGGGAGACCTGGCTAGGACTAGAGGGTTTTGCTGGGGTTTAGAAAGGTCACAGGACTGAACTCAGTGTATAGTTCAAAACAGTACTAAGTTGAGAAAGTGGCACAGAAATGTTGCGAAGGAGGGGAAGGCCAACTGGAAACAGCAAGGAGCTGTGTGTGCCAAGGCCAGGGTGTAAGCGAAGGTGACAAAACGGTCTGCTTTTCAAATGTATATAATCCATATGGAATAGGACTGCAGAGACTTCAGGTTTGGGTTACATCTGTGTTTTCTTTCATCTCTTTCTCAAACTTCTGATTTGTATTTTCATGTCAGGAAATCTGCTCTCTACCCTGTAATGGCCATTCCTTCACCAGTACCATCTTCACTTAACTTTGTTAAATGCACCATGAAGGCATGTAAATAATCCCTAAAAATTCTTGCCAGCTTTAAGTTTATAGTTCTTTTGGCATATGTTTTATTTCTGTACTTCAGAACTTCTAGAAACAGCAAACACTTGACTCTCTTTTTCCTGGCTTTCTGAGGGCTGAGTGATGTTCAGAAATATGATAGAATAGACTGTAGTAAGCATAGTTTTGTATTAAATGGAAAAGCAAGTTAGGAGCTTACCAGAACTTCAAGAGAGAACATATATACTTACAATGAGATATATATCACCTCAGCATGCACAGGACCTAAAATTACAACTGAAGTTTCCAGGGTTCACTAGAAGCTTTGTGAATGATGTTTCATTTGTTACTGTGTGCTGCATCTATTATTACGCTTTCTTTTAAATACAGGTTTAAAAAACGAATGCTGATAGAACAGCTTGAGAGTTTTCTGGAAGAAATCCATCGCAGATCCAATCAGGTCAACCATATCAACAGCACCTAAGAAAAACTGCACATGAGAGAAAGCCACAGCAGGGCTCTGCTGTCCTTACTTGCATTCATTTTTGACATGCGCTTTTATCTCAAGGTCTTGTATCTGAAAGAATGAGAAGCTGCTCTATAAAATAAGAAAAGTATCCATCATCTTTTTTTCTTCACTTCTGTTATTTTTGTAATGTGAAAAATACTACAAAAACATTCTTATTTAACTAAATGGAGGACTTCTTGCTTGTCATGGACTTAAGTGTCACTTTCCCTCAGGTTCTATTTTTCTTAATCCAACCTTCAAAACTATCACCTCTTAAGGTCGAACTTTGCCAAAAAGTTGCTTTGTAATTTTCAAAAAAAAAAAAGAAAAAAAAAGCACATACATTAAACAAGGTAATGTTTTGTATATACAGTTATTTTGGATATATTATTGTAAGTTGTATAAATGTATTTTGAGAAATATTTAAGAAAAGCACTTTTGTTATGCCATCAATAAAATCTCTATTTTAATCTTTGTGTAGGACTGTGTACAGTTTTTATTTTGTTTTGCCTTCCCTTTCCAGAGCTTATATGTTCTAATATCAGTGTTAAAAGAATGAAGAGCAATTTTGTATCACTGGATATTCTGTTCTTAATCAGAGAATGAGTGAAAGGAAGCTAATCCTGCATTGCAACTACAGTAGGATACCTTGTGTACTCCTTGGTGACTTTGGCATAACAAAATGATATCCCATGTGCACATCTGCAGCAACGATAAACCCCCCAATTATATGAGGATACAGTATAGTAAAGCAGACGTCAATAGCCCTTGAGGCTGCTGCACAGTTTTTCTGCATCAGAGTTTTTACATGCTCACGAATGCAGAACAGCTGGAAGGTGCTGCTCCTTGGACACAAAATACCACTTTATTGGCCACATTCTTCATCTGTGCTAGATGCTCTTAACTTCTGGGAAGTTTGCTGTGATTCAGTGGGATCAGCTCCCCTCTGGTGCTTTTCCTAGGAATCAGTGGTTTGCAGTCTTCACCCAAAAATCTTTATGGGCCTAGGTTTCTGATGTTGGTACCATGAGTTACTGAATCTTGTACTAAAACACTCAGTGTATCCTAGTTTTTGTCAGGATGCTGAAAAAAAAGCATTTTTCTACATGCTTTTAGCCTCATTCAGTGTTCTTTAGGAATGTCATTTTATGCTGTATTCTCTTTAAAAAGTAAATTAAAAGGTAGTAAATGTAGTACAATTTAGTAATAATATTTATTTGAATAGGTATTTCTGCTTCCTACCTGTTCTGTCAGTCTTGAAATAGCCTCTGAACTTGATTTCCTTTTCACAGCATTTTGCTATTTGCTAGTTACCTTACTGTCTCAGCTGATTATAAGTGAGTCTGGGACTAGGCTTTAATTTCAGTTTTATTCTTAAGTTTTTTACTTTAGAACAGGGAAATAAAGTTTGCTTATTCTTGCAAAAGTTATAATGTTTAAACATGTGTTTTAATAAATACATATAATGTAGCCTTTCATTTCATTGAAGGAAAGCTCGCCATATGAACAACAGAAGACAGTATGTTTGCCTAGTGTTTATTATGAAGGATTTGTAACTCTTCCTATAAAGATTACTGCACCTGTAAATGAAAACCATATTAACATTATTTCAGTTTGGGACCATATTTTCAAAGTGTAGTACAGTTTAAATATATAAATTAAGCATGGAACTAGCAGATTTGTGATCATGCATTCCTTGTATGGAGAAATCAACTGCAATTGATGCTTGCTTTAGAATGACTTGAACATTTCTGTATTAAAAACCTAAAAGGCCTTTCCAAATATTGGTAGCCCATATCAGAAATTTGCCAAAATTGTGCAATTTACTTAAACCATTGCCTAAGGAATTGCTTCTGAACTGATCAAAACAGCCTAATTTCATTCCGTTGTGTTGGTGCTGTAGTTTCAGAAGATGTTATTACAACCCCTTGAATGAAATCACTTTCAGACTAATTGCATGTGTGGTTCAGTTGCTTGTATTGCTGTTACCTTGCCTGTCCTTCAAAGGAAATGTGTTCAAACTCCAAATTCAGATTACACCTCCCCCCCCCCCCCAATTTTTCTATTAGGCAGAATGATGCTATTTTAGGTCTTAGAAAATATATTTCTGCTATTACTAGAAGACTGATACAGTGAAGACTTTTGGCCTTAATGAAGATTCATTGTTAAATTTATGGGGATAGTAAGTTTTAAGTGCCTCTAAGTTAACAAAATCTATTACAAGCAGATCTTGTTTACCTTTTCCCACTTTTCATATCCAAACAACTTCAGTCACTAAGTCTGAGCAAACAAAATGACTGAACGTTTTCAGTTTTCACTTTTTTGCATTAGAAAGCTTCAATATCAGAAATGTACTTCTGATTTTGAGTTGATTAAAAGTTATATTTTGTTATTCATCATATAAAAATCCTATTTTATAATCTGATTTCATTTTTATATATAAAAATATACTGTAAAGTGAACAATTTTATATATCCAAATCCATTTGTTCTTAATCCTGAACAGTCTGTGGCTTTGGTTTCATAGATCAGCTTTTAGTGTCTTTTTTTTAAAAGTAAAAGTACTTCTATTCATTGAATGACGATCACCAAAAGCATATTTGAAACACCAAAGTAGTGCTTTTCTCTTGAACAAAATGCAAACACATCTCTTTTAAAATGTAAGATCCAGATTTTTAAAGCGGAGTGTTACATACACAGGTATTCACTGACTGAGAGAACAGTGGGTGTTGCTTGGAAGTGGCAAAGGAAAATGATTCTCTTTGGTCTTCTTGACAGGCCCCAGTGTCTTACTGAGTGCTATAAATGGCTGTGTGTTCCCTGAAAATCTAAATAGATATGACTCCAGTTACCAGAGAAACTTGGTGGTTTTGAAAGATTTTTAGGAAAACACTTCAGGTACAAATTTACTGCACTGCTAAGAATGGTAAGAGCTGTTGGAGGTGGCCTGATACTCTGGAGGAGCAAGCACCTGCTAAATGGTGCAATAATGCAGTTCTCCTTTATTATTCCTAATGAGCTATATAGTGTTTTCCTTTGGCAGAGATTCTGGAGTAACCTGTATGATTGGACATTTAAAATTAGACTACACATTTTATACTGAAGCAAGGGAGTGCTGTGATGTTTCACTTTTTCAGATGTGTTCTCCACTTCTGTTTGGTTTGGAGTTTTTCTTGGTCTTGTTTTGGGGCTGGGGAAGTTCATTTGCCAGAAAAAGTTGTAAGATACAAAAGAAATACAGGTTTGTTTGTTTTTGTTTTTGTTTTTGTCATTTCTTTGCAAAAGTGAAGATACAAGTTAAGCTTTTTGCAGAGCCAAGTTACTGATGGCATACAGTGAATACCCGTGGCTTTTGATAACCTAAATGCTCATGAGGATGCTAAGTAGCGAAGGGTCCAGATGTGTAAAACTATCTCCTCAAAGCTGTTGATTTTCAAAATATGAGGGAAGAGAAACTCGTTTCTGCATTTTTGTGAGCTGTAGCTAGGCAAAAGATTGTTGGTCTTCAGAATTTCTGAGGTATCCCCCTAGAAACTGCTAAGGTAGGAATTAATACAGGGTGTTTCTGGTCTTCGTGGCTAAAAGCAGAAGTCTGCTCTATGCCATCTGTATATGTATGAATAAGTTTCATTTATAGGAAAGGATTTCTTTCTTACTTTCAGATATTAATCCAGCTGATCTAGCCCATTTGTAATTTGAATTGCCCTGTGGAGGTCAGTCTCTAATCCTATGGCATTTAATCATAAAATCGACTAGGTTGGAAAAAGCCTTTAAGATCATCAAGTCCAACTCTTACCCCAGGACTGCCAAGTCTACCACTAAACCATATCACAGGGCGTCCACGTTTTTTTGAATGCTTTCAGGGGTGGTGATTTCACCACTTCCTTGGGCAGCCTTTTCCAATGCCTGACTACTCTCTCGGTGAAGAAGTTGTTCCTAATATCCATTCTCAACCTTGTCTGGCAGTTTGAGGTCATTACCTCTTGTTCTATCACTTGTTACGTGGGAGAAGAGACCAACCTCCACCTCACTACAACCTTCTTTCAGGTAGCTGTAGAAAGCAATAAGGTTCCCCCTGAGCCTTCTGTTTTCCAGACCAATAAACCCCAGGTCACTCAGCCTCAGGATCTGTGCTCCAGGATCCTTCACCAGCCTCGTTGCTCTTCTCTGGACCCACTGCAGCAACTCAAGATCTGTAAGATCTTTCTAGGCCTTATATTTGTAGTGAAAAAATGGTTTAGTATGTACTGCATATAGACAAGAGATGCTAACCTGGCTTCCCTGACTTCTATGACTGTCATGCATGCTTTTTAAACTGTGTTCCTCATGCTTTAAAATCCGTAAAGCTACTGTTTCCGTAATTGCTGAAATTTCCTGGACTGAAAATGATGTGTTAAGTTACAAAGAACTTGTTAATTGATTTTGGTGAAGGATTCTTCTACTGAAACACAGAGCATGCATACCTGTATTAGCTTCTCTCAGGAAAAATGTGAAAGGTCGGTCTGCCTTGAAAATAGGTGTTCGAGATCTTTTTAGTAACACCATTGCTGTAATGCAGCACAGAAAACATTAGTAAAATGTGTCTATTTTCTTTCCATCTTCTGTACAGTGCCCTCAAGCTCTGATGTTTAGTACTCTGAGTTTTGCTCCTCTGCTTTAAGAATAAAACAATTTTATCCAGCAGTGAAATTGGTCTGGGTGAATGATCAAGGTAAGCGTTGTGAGGCAACGTGCAGGTGGTTTGTGTGCGTGTTGTTGAAGTGAGTCTGTCTGGCTTTGAAAAGGTAATATGATTTTTGTTGTTACCACAGCCCCAATTAATGCTGCCTCTTGGATTTCCACTTGAAAGAAAGAAAAAGAAATGGGAGAGTCCCAGCTCTTGCCCTGATCTGCAGTCAAGGGCCACCAGTGTTTGCGGTGTGCATGTGGAGTGCATCTACAGTTGGCACAGACCAGGGAAGGAGAAAGGTGAGATGTGGTTAACTATTACCCTTCTGCTGTGCTGGTGTTTGAACAGCTTGAGAAACATGCTCATCCTCTCAAGAGAAGCAAGCAAGCAACAGCAATGCCTGCATAAACTACACAGGGGTCTAGGGCTGCCATTGCTTTTCACACGGACTTGCAGCAGCTCTGGAGCATCTGAGGCTTCCAAAAAGGAAACAAAAAAGGAGCTTTCCTTGATAAGGCTCATGTGACCAAAAATAGAAGAAAAATGGGGATTGCACAGCTCAGTAATTTTAGTTTTATGTAAATTATACTGGAGAATTTTGTTGAGATGCCATTCAGCTTGTGAGAGTCATTTATTGACTATAGTCTATAGCTGAGATTTTACTCTGGATTTCCCCACTCAGCCAGCCCCAGCTGTTCACATGAATATGAGCTTTTAGCAGAAGCTACTGCACATGAAGGTCACTGCAAAGTGTGTAAGAGAGAAGCCTGCCTTCAAGGAAACAAAACTTCCCCGTCATTGCCTTTAATGCTATCAAAGAGGTCATCTTCAAAATACAAAGCTTGTAACAGTTCAGGAGCTATAGATAAAATATTAGTAACCTTTTCTCATTTTTTGCTTTTATAATCTGAGCAAACAGATTTAACTGACAGAAAAATAAGTGGTTTATTTTCTCAAACTGGATTTTTTGTGGGCTGATAAAGCTGGATTTCACTTGAGTCTTTAGTGTTGGTCTGAGACCAAATATTATAGAGTTATTATGAGCAATTGCAAAGGCAAAATTAAAGTGTGTTAATTATAAAAGTTTAAATTTAGGTAGAAATACATTTAAATGCCACTATGCCTTAATAAATAAATAAATAAATAAAGACTAGTAGCTGTTTCTGTAGTAATAAGCTCCTGAAGTGAGAAGTACAGTCTGTATATTTGATTTACCTGTAGCTCCTGATGCCTTTGTACCATCTTCTGTTATTTCAATCTCTGCTTTGTGAATAGCTTCTGAAATATAAAGATGATCTTGCTCTGTAGAAAAAATACCAACCAAACAAAACAAAACAAAAAAGCCCACCAAAAACAAACAAAACCCCACAGAAATGGATATTTATAGTTATTTTCTGAATTTCAGTGCAAACACATTTGTTTAAATAAATAAATTTAAATTAATTTGGCAGTGTAACAAGTTGCCTAAGGAAGCTGTGGCTGTCCCATCCCTGACAGTGTTCAAGGCCAGGTTGAGCAATCTGGCCTAGTGGAAGGTGTCCCTGCCCATGGCACAGGGATTGGAACTAGGTGATCTTAAGGTCCTTTCCAACCCAAACCAGCCTGTGATTCTATTTATTAAAATTCAGAATGCTGTAACCTTTGTTTTTTTTGTGCAGAATCCAGCCAGGCAGCTAATTCAGTGGCTGAACCTCAACTTCCTTAAAGGTTGGCTAAGCCAAAGGATCCCAGTCCCATGGCATTTAGCTGGAACGGCAGCAACTGCATCGTAACCTGATGCTGCTGGACAGATAGTGTAAAAAAAGTAGAACAGCTGAGTGTGAATTGTGTTTTAGAGTTTCACAGAAGTAGTACAAAAACTTAGAAGACTCAGGTCTACTCGATCACTCAATGTGAGAGTCTAGAACTATTGGGTCAGCAATCATTTTTACTCAGTCAAGCTTCTTACCCGAAATGCCTTTAAAATTAGCACTGATGGGATCAAATGCATCTCTGATTCCCAAGGCAGAAGAAACTGTCTTTAGATCAAAAAGGCTTTGGATACTGAACCTGAAATTAATAGAGAGATTTTATTTAAATGCAGGATTTGTAGTTTCATAGAACTAAAAGGTGGAATAGATGCAGTTTATTTCAAGCCTTGGCATTTCATCTGTTTCTTATGAGCCCAGTGCATTCTGTCTGATAAGTGTACTTTGCAGAAAAGCAAGTCATCTTAACCTGAAGACAATAACAGAAGGAATCCCTTGCCTTCATCTATTGCAGACTGCATCTCAGTGTTCTTGACACAGGAGCTCTGCATTTCCCCAGGTGTCCTCTTGTTAGCAATCTTTCTGGCTGTAGCAAAGGGCCCTTTGAAACATTTGCCAAAGACTGGCTTGTAGAAAAAAGATAAATTAATGTACAAATTGTTTTTCAGTGCTTCATTAACACGAGGAATGCATTGTGAGATGTATAATGAAGCCCTTCCATGCTGATCTGTACAATAGGTACAGCCACAAAAGGGCTTCCTGCACCAGTTGCCTCCTGCTATGCGATTTCATTTGAATAGATGATAGAAAATACCTACAGGATATGTGCATTTTCTAGCAGCAGCAAATGACTAAGACAGAAAACTGATGCCTGAAACTTCTGTGTACAATTTTCTTTGTGCACAGAAAAATGGATACGACTGGTGGGGGGCCCCCAAATTCTTTGTAGAGTACTTCCATAGTACACTAACAAGTTGTAAAAATAAGCTATTGTGTTTTCTTAAAGGTTATCTATTTATCCTTCCTTAAGCAAAGTGAAAAAATGGAGTGTGGGAAAGAGTCAAGAACATTTCTCTCTTTGTAGATTCTTAAAGGATTGTTATACCCCAAACAAATTTTAAGTGAAATCTGTAGGATCAGCTGAAATACTTGATGTCTGAAACAGAAAGTTTTGGCATTCCTAGCTCATCTCTTCACGGCTTAAGAAAGGGTTGGAGGTTTTCTGATCATGTGATGAGTAACAAAATCACAAGCACCTTGTTTGATTTTGCCTCGTACACTGCTTGTGTCAGTGCTATCATACAGAATTCTGACAACTGAAGTAGTGAAGCCACCTTGGAGTACTGACATTGCTTACCTAGGTAGAAAAATGTCCATCTTTGTTCTCTTTAAGCTGCTGGCCCAAATGGTTATGTTTTTGGCAGAAAAGTGTGACTCAATCTGGGACAAATGTGTTCTTCTGTGGCTGGGAAGCACTAAGAACATGCTGAGTTTCTCCCCCAGGTAGGGTAATTCAACCATGCTGAAAGCCTCCAGAGCTGCTGTCTTGAACTGGCCTGTGGGTGGGCAAATATAGATCTTTATTTTATCATTCAGGTGGGTAAAAAAACCCAAAACTCACAACCTAGGCCTGGGCAAGCAGGCAGTTCAGGACTGCAACGATGGGGTACAAGAGGTTGTCTCTAGCGCATTAGCAGCCAGCTCAGGTTGCTATTAACTCACAACAGTGGCTCATCTGAACAGAGCTGACTGTGTGAAATACCTCTATATAGAGAGATAGATACAGATTACCCAGAGAAGTCGTGGATGCCTCATCCCTTATTTGTTAATTAGAAAGAAAATGAAAGACTTGAGATGACTGAGTCAAAACATTTAGCGTTCCTTACTTGAACTAATTTTGAGCATCCCATAAGGATTATATATATTCTAAATCAGTATTCAAATATAGTTGACAAATTGCCTGGGAAAAAAAGAATATGTAAAGTAGCTGCAGTACACTGCATGTATAAATAGTAATAGGCATGTTTAAACAGCAATGTTGACATTTTCTTCGAGCAGTGTTAATTGTCCCCAGGCTGATTTGTTCTGCGTGGCCATGTTAAAGGGATAAACAATGTTGTAAATGCTGCTATCAATAACAAGTCATTGCTGATCTTCCTTGCTCTGTGTTCTGGATCCTGATGGGAGACAGCTGTTTTCATTTAATAATGAAAGAAAGTTATCTGATGCCTCTCCATTGTTGTACTGTGTTGGTCTTTTGTATTAATTTCAAACTGACTTGTTAGACATGCTTCTAGCATTTCTAGTGGCAACAACCGAATTGGCCCTATCAAATGTGACAATCAGCAAATTTTAAATGATCCCTTTTATCAAGGATAATCAAGTCACAGAAAGAAATAAAAAGTGAGATAATTGAAATATCAGGTGTGTACCTATGGAGATTTCTCTCACCTTGATTTACCTTGGACTCATCAGCTGGAAAAAAAATTGGAGAAAGCAAAAAGGCTCAGGTGTGGTCAACCCTGAGTTACCACCCTGAGCTGATTCTGTAGTGCACTATGCAAGGTACTTCTATCAAGTCATAGAAATACTAAGAGCATTTTATTGAGCATGTATATGGGCTCATTGAAAGCATTATGGACATTGCTAGTAATTAGTTTTCAAGAAAGATTAAATAGGAAAAGTGCAGAAAAGAACTAGTAGAGAATTGGAGTATCTGAAGGGCTTGGCATCTTCAGCTTAGCTAACAGGAAATTGAGAGACAGCTTGGTGACTTGCAAGTGCATTTAGGAGTAAATACAGAAGCTGAAGAGAAACTATTTAACTGAAGGGATAAAGCTGGCACAATGCTAAGAGATATAAATTGGTCTTGAAAAAATTTAGATTTGGAATTAGGAAGGTTTTTACCCAAGTGCAGTTCTGAAATCTAGGGTAGAAGGGAAAGGAGCTTTTTACAGTTTGAAAGATTGTAGGGCTAAATGGACAAATTCCTGGTGAAGGAAATTAAGCCTACAACATGAACCCTTCCGTCAGCAACCCACATACTCCAAGCCTTTGAAAGGAGCAAACACTGTATTCACATATTATATAAATAAAAGTTTGACCTATGTTTATACTGGTTTAAGCCTGTCCTGAGATAATCCACTGACTTGGTATAAGGTCCATAAAACTTTCTCTCTGCTTTGTTGTGTAATTTGGCCCTAAAGATCTCCAAGTTTACCCCAAAGCCTTGGGGGCAGGCTGTGACCAGAGACAGGGAGGATGGGTGTGCTGTGCAGTGCAGTCCAATGATGCTATCCTCTCTCTGGAGCTTACACATTCAATGAACAAACAGTGGTAAAGCTAAGGGGCCAGGAAATGTTTTCTTTCCAAGCTGGGAAAGTAACACATCTTAGTGTGGTACCTGTGGAAATTAAATAAATAAAACTTCTATGTCATACAATACAGCAAATCTGGATTAAGGACAGTTACCGTAGTTAACTTCAGCTGTGTGATGCATTGTGGGCACTTTCAGTGTTGAGCCCTCTGCCGTAGTAAAAGACAACATCTGGGTATCCATAAAGGAAAACTTCTTTTGCCACATGTTTTTGAAGTACATGGTGCTCACCAAGACGACCTGGCTGAGTGGTGACACAGCACTCTTCAAGCTCATGCTGCACACATCCCCATCTGCGTGGAAAAGAGATGGGGAGGGGGACACATGCCATCCTACTCACCGAGGCCTGAAGGCCAAATCTGTGTGAGTAAATAAAGCAAGCTGGGACAGCTCTTCATCCCTAAGGGCAAGAGGCACAACTCACAAGGCACTGGTAAACCCTCTACCTCCCCCCTACACACACCCCCTCCCCCCACTGTACATGCAGCTCATTGGGGTTTCCTGTTGATCCATGCTCTCCCCAGCTTGAGCTGATCAGTGTTGGGGGCCAAAGATGTGCCAGGACTATGCTACTCACTGAACAACACAGATGACAGCAGCTTGCTGCTCAGCATCATGCCCTGGCCCTAACTGGTTTTCTAGCTGGAATGTGCCCATATCTTGGAGTAGTGTATCATTAGCACCAGAAAACTCATGAAATGGATTCATGATGACAGGCCACTTTACAAGGTCACTAAGTCTACTGAAGCTTATAGCCTAATTCTCCCCCTCTCCTATTCACTTGCCAGTTCAAATGATCCTGCTTTGGGTATCTCAGCAATTTTTGACAGTGCAATCCACTTTTAATTCACTGATATGTAGGTGAGCACCGCAATATGAACTCCCATTTTAGTACCTGCTTCTAGAGCGATACTTTTTTACCATGAAGCTGTATCACTTATTACAGTTCATCTGAGAAGGATAGAACTCTTTTTTTAATAGTATCTTTAATGTGTGTGTTTAAGATCACCTCACATGTTGATGGCCAAATTAACACGTAACTTAAGCTGATGGGGTAAATCAGGGATTGGTTTGCTTTGTAGCTTCTAAAGACTTGCTTTTTCAGTTATGTTTTTCATTAACATAGAATTTAATTTCATTACTTTCCTTGCTTGTGGAAAGTAGATTCTTTTTAGTTCCCATTTTGACTTCCTCAACTCAGGGTGTGACTGCTGAGCTGATGGACCTGCACGTTCCCAACAGCAGCATGAAAGCATTCAATGGAGCAGACTCAGTCCCTGGGGTATATGGCTGCTCCTCATTAAAACTGAAAAGGCTGTGAAGGATTGCCATGTTAAAAATTAGAGGAACAAGGTCAAGAGTTTACCAGCTGGATACTGCAAATGTATACTCTCAGATTCAGACTATTCCAGCTCTTTCTTCACGTTAGAAATCAGCATTATGGACATTCCTGGCACTCAGCCTTGGTTTGGACAACACAGTGTGGCAAAAATACTTCATACTTGGTTAAATGCAATTTCTCTCTTTACTTTCATTTTAGATTCTATTCATGTGCAGTCATTCTCATGGGTTGTTACATTACCTCCAAGGTTACCAGCGATCAAGTCCTGTATTTGGGCTGTGCTCCTGTTTGGGTCAGTGAAGTTGATTTGCTGCAGGCTGCTGTTAGCCCAGTGCACAGCACATGCAACAAAATGGGGTGAGAGCTGCACTCTGGCATCCACAAAGAAGGAATATGCCAGCTGAACCACCATGCCTTGGCTGGAGTCAGTCACTCCTTTGTACATTGCATGTAAGAACTCCTGCACACTTTGATCTGCCAGGCAAGAGAGAGGGAAAAAATGTAATTATTGTGTTGAGGTTAAGGAAAGCAGAGACTGCACAGCTCTCTCCAGCTCCAAACTCCAGTGCTGATGCTGATGCAGCGCTGATGATGTTCCTCTGAAAGTTAAATCACTATCACAACTGAAGCACCCTTGACTTTATGGGGTATTACTGCCAAGTGCTGCTTTCAAGGACGGTGATGCACTGGGCACAGGAAAGCACTCTTCATGTTGCTGTAGAAATCACTCTAATGCAGACTATGTCAAGTGGCTGATTTCACATCAGGCTCACACTTCCACGCAAACACAGCTTTTACAGTTCATAAGATACATAATTATTTCTTGGGCATCTCTGAGCTTCCATTACACTCAGTGGATAAAGAACTGGCTGGATGGCTGCATGCAAAGAGTTGTGGTCAATGGCTCAATGTCTGCCTGGAGACCAGTAACAAGTGGTGTCTCTCAGGGATCGGTGTTGGGACCGGTCTTGTTCTACATCTTCGTCACTGACATGGACAGTGGGATTGAGTGCGCCCTCAGCAAGTTTGCCGATGACACCAAGCTGTGTGGTTCGGTTGATACACTGGAGGGAAGGAATGCCATCCAGAGGGACCTTGACACGCTTGTGAGGTGGGCTGATGCCAACCTCATGAAGTTTAACCATGCCAAGTGCAAGGTCCTACACCTGGGTCGAAGCAATCCCAGGCACAGCTACAGGCTGGGCAGAGAAGAGATTCAGAGCAGTTCTGTGGAGAAGGACTTGGGGGTGTTGGTCGATGAGAAAATGAACGTGAGCCGGCTTCAGTGTGCGCTTGCAGCCCAGAAAGCCAACCGTACCCTGGACTGCATCAAAAGGAGTGTGACCAGCAGGTTGAAGGAGGTGATCCTGCTCCCTTATTCTGCGCTCGTGAGACCTCACTTGGTGTATTGTGTGCAGTTCTGGTGTCCTCAACATAAAAAGGACATGGATCTGTTGGAACAAGTCCAGAGGAGGGCCACGAGAATGATGAGGGGACTGGAGCACCTCCCATATGAAGACAGACTGAGAAAGTTGGGGCTGTTCAGCCTGGAGAAGAGAAGGCTGTGTGGAGACCTCATAGCAGCCTTCCAGTATCTGAAGGGGGCCTAATAGGGATGCTGGGGATGGACTCTTCATCAGGGACTGTAGTGATAGGACAAGGGGTAATGGGTTCAATCTGGATATAAGGAAGAAATTCTTTCCTGTTAGGGTGGTGAGGCACTGGAATGGGTTGCCCAGGGAAGTTGTGAATGCTCCACCCCTGGCAGTGTTCAAAGCTAGGTTGAACAGAGCCTTGGGTGAGATAGTTTAGTGTGAGGTGTCCCTGCCCATGGCAGGGGGGTTGGAACTGGATGATTTCAAGGTCCTTTCCAACCGTAAGTATTCTATGATTCTATGGTTAGCTAGATCTAGCACCTCTGACTGACTGGCTGAGCTGCCAATGCCACAATACTGCCATCTTTTTCCTGCCATTATCAGTGCCGCCCATCCCAGGAAAGGCATCTCCCTGACTGCCCCAGGTCTGTCTCTGCTACCCTTGGCTCTGATGTATTGTTTTGTTTCTTGAAGGATGGCATCCTGAACTAGCCTGTTATTGCAGGTGAGCCCTGGGAGTGCCAGATAAAGATGACAGGTTGCTTCATATGTGTTACAAGCAACTTTTCATATGAACCTCAACAATATCTTTTTTTTTTTAAGTACAATTATATTTCCCATTACTTTTTTTTTTTAATTCCTAGGAACCCTCAGATCCTTTCCTAAAAACACTCTTCTTTGGCCCATTGTTCCCTGATTTGAACACTGATTATTCCCTTTAAATGCAGAATTTTGCACTTGTCCTTATTGAATTGTGCCCTATTCACCTCATGCATTCTCTGATTTTCAAGGATCCTTTAAAATTCAGCGGTGGTAGCTTCTGTGATGGACACAAGGTTGAGGTGTAGGCCCAATAGGAGCATGAGTCCTGCAAACTTAGGGCCTCTTGTGTTTCTAAAACAGTTTCTAGGAGGCTCCTCTGAAGGGTGATTTAGCAGCCATTTCTGTCTGTCATTATTTTGCTTGCTGTAATGATTTGTCATGGGATGGTTCATACTCAGGTGACCTCCTGAGGCCTGGGACTTGCACCCAGACTGAACAATGTTTACATGCTCTACATGAAATTAAAGGGAAGAATAACCTAGTTTCTCCAGTGTGTTTAGGCAGTGCTGGAGGGAAGTCAGAGTGGGCTGCTGCTTGGGACACAGGCAGCTGGGGGCAGCTAACCAGGGAAGTCCATCCTGCCTGGACCAATGTGTCCCAAGCTGAGTGTCAGGTCAAGGCCATGATCACTGTGAGCCTCTAACTGCCAGCCAGGTCATCAGGAGACATACTGCATCAGTTCAGGTTCTTGATGGGGTAAAGGGAGAGTTTCACATCTACCGGTTTCTATCACCTGAGGATCCAGTGCAGGTTTTCTGACCTCACAGGAAAAACTTCTTCACAGAGAGGGTGGTCAGGCATTGGAACAGGCTGCCCAGGGAAGTGGTGCAATCACCGTGCCTGGAAGTGTTCAAAATACATGTAGATGAAGCCTTTGGTGATATGGTTTAGTGGTAGACTTGGCAGTCTTGTGGTAGTGGTTGGACTTGATCCTAAAGGTCCTTTCCAGCCTAGTTGATTCTGTGATTCTGTAGAGCTCCTTCCATAATGTACAGAAAGACTAATCACCTGTGGGAAGTTTGGTATTGAAATTTAGATCTATTACTCTTTAAGGGATAAACTATTGAACTCCTTGAGCAGATGTCAGGAAAACTCACACAGTCTGAGGTGTAAAGTGCTTTTCTCGTGTGTTTTTCATTAGTGCTGGAGCATTTGGCAAGCTCCCTCTGGAGGATGTGAGAAACCAAAGATGGTAAATTGGAAGCAGATGTTAACGTGAGGTGTGGTATCCTGAGCTTGTAACTTCAGTCATATCAAAGTGCTTAGCTAACCAAAGTCCTGAACAATTACTTGGAGAAGAGTTCAAAACTGCTTTAAAATACTCTACCTTCAATAAAATAAGGCAGCAAGGAGAAAGCATGTTAAAGCCTGTCATTTTATCTGTGCTGTCTAGAGAAACATCCCTTTCAATATTGTTCTTGTTAGTACTAGAATAAAGGTGAACAAAACTTCCAAACATTAAAAGATTACAAGTGCATGAAAGTGGATTCTCCATGAATAGTGAATGAACCATCAATGTTTTCATTGTTTTCAGCCTGTTAAGTTTTTAACCACATCCTTCATTATTGTTCAAGACAGACCATCAGAAACATTAATGCAAATATCTAATGGAAGAAAGGAATTTTATCAGCTATGCATATGTATGTGATTTGGTTTTACACATCTGATAGGAAATCTGATATTTTTGATGTGTTTATTTGATTTAAACTATTTAAAGAAGTTGTTTTCTTCTCTATCACTGGAAATGTGCTATTCTAACCAATAGCAATAGATCCCATCCTATTTTATTTTCACATTCATGCATTAATATTACTGAAAGCCAAAGCTCATGTGGCTTATGCCACAGGCAACTAAAATGGATATAAAATATCTGCTTGGTATGGTGTGCCACATGGGAAGTAAGGCAGCAAAAAAGAGCTATCAGGTCATTAACTGTCTGCACTTCATTGCATTTTGTGTGGAGAAGTGTGCCTGAATTTCACTGTGCAATATTATTTTTAGGATTCTTTCTGACTAACTGAACCCCTGATGACCAGAATTGTCAAGCAAGCTATAATCCCTGTATGAATCAATGTTACTTAAAATTACCCTACTGAATTTACAGAAATGGGAGTCTTATGGGCAAGACGTCATTGTGCCAGTTGCTCATGATAGAGATGCATTGTCCTTGTGTCAGTACATGCAGCTGTATCTATCAGCCAGAGGTAGCTCTTACCTCTGTGTTGGTTTTGAATATCGATGCTATACAGAATGGTAATGGTGACTAAGGCAGTTACAGCAGAGGCCAATGAAATTGCTGTATGTTTTGTCTTTAGTCTCCATACTTCTTTTAGGGAAGGAATGCCATCCAGAGGGACCTTGACACACTTGTGAGGTGGGCTGATGCCAACCTCATGAAGTTTAACCATGCCAAGTGCAAGGTCCTACACCTGGGTCAGATCAATCCCAGGCACAGCTACAGGTTGGGCAGAGAAGAGATTCAGAGTAGCCCTGTGGAGAAGGACTTGGGGGTGCTGGTCGATGAGAAAATGAACATGAGCCAGCTTCAGTGTGCGCTTGCAGCCCAGAAAGCCAACCGTATCCTGGGCTGCGTCAAAAGGAGTGTGACCAGCAGGTCGAAGGAGGTGATCCTGCCCCTCTACTCTGCTCTCGTGAGACCTCACTTGGAGTATTGTGTGCAGTTCTGGTGTCCTCAACATAAAAAGGACATGGAACTGTTGGAACAAGTCCAGAGGAGGGCCACGAGAATGATCAGGGGACTGGAGCACCTCCCATATGAAGACAGGCTGAGAAAGTTGGGGCTGTTCAGCCTGGAGAAGAGAAGGCTGCATGGAGACCTCATAGCAGCCTTCCAGTATCTGAAGGGGGCCTATAGGGATGCTGGGGAGGGACTCTTCATTAGGGACTGTAGTGATAGGACAAGGGGTAACGGGTTAAAAGTTAAACAGGAGAAGTTTAAATTGGATATAAGAAGGAAATTCTTTCCTGTTAAGGTAGTGAGGCACTGGAATAGGTTGTCCAGGGAGGTTGTGAATGCTTCATCCCTGGCAGTGTTCAAAGCCAGGTTGGATGAGGCCTTGGGTAATACGGTTTAGAGCAAGGTGTCCCTGCCCATGGCAGGGAGGTTGGAGCTTGATGATCTTAAGGTCCTTTCCAACCCTAAGTATTCTATGATTCTATGATTCTACACGGACAGTAAATTTCATGCTGAGAAATAGCAGTGTCATCTCTATACATAAGTTTTGTATGTAAGCTGCAAATTTTTAAGATGAGGCAGTCATCTGCTTTTCATAAACATTGTGCCCATAATGTAAAATAGTTTTTGACGCATGATGTGAGATGGTAGGATAATCCAGAGCTAAAATGCAAACAGCATCCTTAAATTCAGCTGACTTAATGCTGGATTTTAAGACATCTGCCTTTTCCATATCCCTTCCAGATTCCCTGTGAATTTTATTTTAGCCTGCTTTCAGGGAAATATGCAACTGCATCATCCATCTGTCTATGTACCTCTCTCTGCCAGTCTCCTTCTAGTAACTTTTAATCTTTTTGTCCAGTTGTAAAAACATTAGAAAAAGGTTCAAAGTCTTAAAGATAATTCCATTTCTATAGGTTTCATAAAATTTGTTAATTGGACAGGAGAGAAAACGTAAGTGGGATTGGAGAGGAAACAGCTGTCCTCTGCCCAGCACCTCCTCGCAGAGGACACGGGGATGCCAGCACACAATGGACACGATGGATCTCTGGGAAACCAGGACCAATTCTGCTGTGCGTGGAAGTAGCTTTTCTAGGTGCAGTTGTATTTCAGTGCAGCAAAAGAGTAAGCACTGACCAAGAGAAAAGAGGAACTATAACATGTGTGTCAACTATTCCCTTAAGTTTTCTTTCTCCAGCTGGTACCTGGCTATCAAAGATGGGGAAAACACTCCTGAACTACATCTTGCAGTGAGACAAAAGACAGAAGTTTAGTATGACGTGTGTAATTGCTGTCTCCTTAGTAAAGCTGTGAATTTATGGCAAAATGTAAGACAAGAAGTATTTTTTATAAGCAGTACATTACCAAGAATGTTGTATCCTAGAGCATCCTGCAGTTCCGTAAAGGTATTTCCTTGAGCTCCAAACTGCAGAAGCTCCAAAGAAACAGCCACACTTGCTGGAGAGACTACCAGATTGGTTCTGTTCTCTGCTTCAGATACATGTCGGTAGAGATTGATGGCAAATTCAGTCTTCAGCTCTTTCAGCTCGCCATAGGAGATGCAGTTTGCTTTGGTAAAGCAAGAAGCAGACAGGACAAAAGCAGAGAAGAAAATGGGCAACATGAAGGCGAACTGGGAACACTCTCCACCAGCTAATCATACCTGCAATTAACAATACAGATTCATTTAGAAAACCAATAGGTTGAGCTGATAGAGGAACTTTCTCTTTCCATTAGTGTTAAGATACCACTTGCAATAGTAGTGATCATTATTAAAATACCTGTCCAGGTCTACTGAGTAACTATTGTCATAAAAAGAAAAACTGAGTAGGGACTCTGTTGATGACTCTGATGATGAGATGACTCTGTTGGCTAAGAAGAACTGAGTTTTCCAGAATGTTATACCATATAGGATGTTTGGCCATTGCACTGTATGGAGACACAGAACCCCTTGGTTAAAAAGTTAGCTACCTGCACAGATGGTGGGACACCTTAGTGCAGTCTCCATGGTGCTGAGTACCCACAGCTCCTTTCTGTTCCCAGCAGAAAGGGGGTCACATCCAGCACTCCCAGAAGGAAGGCCACCCCTTGTGAGGTGCAGGTATCTAACTGGAGGCTTCAGTCTGGGTTTTAGATCCATGCTTGTTAAAGGCTGGATTCAAATTCCCCCTCCCCACACCCTACCTCCACCATTATTCCTTCTATGAAATTTATCCCAGTAAAAAAGGTTATATTTACAAAAGGCACCAGTGCTTGCAGCACAAAATGACTGCTTCGGAATTTGATGGGAAACCAAGTGTTGGTCAATGTTCTATTAAGAGACACTTAGATCATTATTTAAAGGAATAAGGCTAAAATGACAGAACACCTTTCCTTACAGAATTTCACCTTTCAACATTGTATGCAAGTATATATTAAACCACACTGCACCGTCTTTCACTTCAGGATTTCCTACAAATCTTTCTCCATGCCCTTTGCTCTAGAGAGCACCTCTAATGCCTTGTATTTACTCACAGTTAGCTCTGTTAAATTGTCTTCCCTTTCTGTGTCCTTCTGGGTGTCTGAATGGAAGTTGTCTATGTACGTCTTGTCTCCTTTAATAGGTAGTGGAGTAAAGACTAAGTCATGAGACTGCATTTAAAGGGATCGTCAGTGATCAGAGTCTGTGTCGGCGATGTCTGTACCACTCTGTCCAAATTCCTGTAGGCTACAAGCTCCATGGAGAGCCAGGCAAAGCAGCATGCCACTGACCAGCAAATCCAAGGCAAGGAACAAAAAGGTACACATGGAGATAGAGTCAGCCGCTTCCTTGCAAGCCTTGCTCTAGCCTCATGAGGCTTGTGACCTGCTGGTACCGTGCAAGACATCTCCTATCTCTCTTCCCACCCCCCTCCTTCTTTTGTATGAATTCCATTGATTCCTCTGCCACAAAGGGGAAGAGAAAGGGCTCTCTGTGTACCAGGCACACAGCTATTTCCCCCCCCCCTCCCCCCCCACTTTGAAACCTTACTCAGAAATCCCATGCAATTAAATGTCTTTATTTGCTTTTTTTTTTCCCCCTTTTAATGCCATCCCAAATAGTAAGATTTTCATTCACTCTTTAGTTTCCAGGAGGAAAGAAACAACAAAGCAGTGTACTTGAAGGAGATCAAATAAGGAAGAGGTCACTTTGAACTGACCAGAAGCAGAAGAGCTGTGGTTGTGACCACTTTAAAAGCAGTTGCAGCTGTTCATGGCTTTCTTAATGCAACAGAATCAAATCCAGACCACCATATTCGCAAGTTCAGCTTTATAGCTTCGCAATGGCACCAAAGGCAAGAAAGGTTTCAGCTTAAAAATAAGTGCTCATTTTTACTGAACCTGTAGCTTATTGATCTTCCCAGAGTTTGACATTATATATACTCTTTGCTATTTTACAGCATATGTTCCTGTTGCTACTGGGAAAGAAGACATGGGCAAAAGGTCATTGCAATCAAGAAATAGTGTTTAGGTGCTCCTGTTTCATCCTTAGCAGGGAAGGAGCAGCCACACAATTGAATCAGGGCCCAAATGAGAATGAAGCAATGGGTTTCCCTTTGTCTGTACTTGTGCTTTTCCTTTCTGCTGTTTTGAGGAGATGACAGAATAGACACTGATACTGGGATCTGTCTCAGGATCCTGGGGTTTAGACCAGATTCCTGTTAGGGCAGATGTAGGACAAGAACTTGTCCAGTCCCAGTCTAGTGCAACAGGCAGGGATGTAGTTTTCGCCATGAATTTAAGTGACAGTGTCCTCACACTGAATATTACATTTGGGCTTAAGAGTTTTGCTGAGTGAGGATCTCTCTGCAGAAGTTATCATTAACAGTATCCACTGGACTGAAGGTGTATTCAGAAGGAATGAAGCAGATGCTACCAAGCGAGTTCTTGAAGGGCTCTGAGCTGTCAATAAGTAAATTAACTCTGGTCACTACTGAGCTGTGTTTGATGTGATGTTCCCAGAGGCCCCAGACCTGATAAGCCATTTCCTCTGTGCCCTGCTTGATACTCTCCTGTGGATTTATTAAATTTGGAAGAAAGATAGGGGAACCCCTGACAGCTTGAGGTAATACTGTCAAAAACCGACATTCAATTCCCACTGGGCAAAAATGTCGATATTCAGGATTGGGGTAAGTACTTATGGAAGATGCAGTTGAAAACTGGACCCAGTTTAAATGTGGTAGGACAGTGTAATTTCTGTTGGAAAGGGGAAAAAGCCATTCTGGGCCATGTCTTATCACAGAGGAGACTTAAAAGCTAGGGTGTTTGCTTCAACCCCTTCCTCCCTGCACCTGATTTAGGAAAAGAAAGCTGTGGAGGAATCTGAGAAGCAAAACCAGTGTTAGTGAAAAAGGAGAGAACACTTAAGAAAACTAAGAATAAATCAATGCTGTTCAAAGCGTGCATGGGGAATTAAAAATGTGCTTTATGTATAATGAATAGAAAACCCATGAGTAAAGTATTAGAAAGATAAAGGGCAGTAGAATAAGAGAGAAGGGTCAGTGAAAATACCTGTGCCTAAAAAATAAGTGATGAATTACTGGGGGATGGGTATGAATATTTGTCACAGTCAGGGTTAAACCCAAAATTCTCACACACCTTCAGGTTAGCAGCCTAGGTTTTAAGTTTTTCTACCCCAAGCTGGGATCCAAAGTTACAAACCGGGTGTCCGAGGAGTGGGGTGAATCTGAAAATAGAGCTTACCAAGTGAGGGTAGTTAAAGGGGGCTGCAAACCAATGGTTGTTACAGAAATTCCCTCTCAGAAACAGAAGTGTCCTGGACTTACCAAAGTGTTGGGATTGGGCTGCTGGGGAGAAAGGGAGTCCTTCTCTCTTTATTTGCCTGTTTACATATCACATCCTTCTTTGGGTCTTAAGCTGGCTATGCACCACAAGGTAGTGAGGAAAGTACTGATAAATTTGATGGCAATCATTTTAAGACACTGAAAATACATTTAAAGAGAAAATGCAATACATTGGTCCCTGAGACTAATCTTCAAAGACAAAAGGAGCAAAAGTAGCAGCTGTATTCTGGGAAATGCTTCTTGACACTGAGATAGTTTATAGACTGCCTGTGAGGGAAGGCACAAACTGATGAAGTCTGGAGTAAATACAGCAGAGGGGTGGCAGGAGGCTGAAGGATGGAGTGCTGCGTTCCCATGGAGCTCCTCTGGGCATCTATAGAAGTTCTGAAAGCTTCTGAGGGAGCCCAACCTGTCTGTGCCCTCACTGAGCACAGAAAAAACCCACTCTTTGAGAAGGAAAACAGCAAAGATCTTCCTGATGTCTGAGCAAACCCCAAAAGAGGGATCAAAACTGCTGGAAAGTGTTTGAGAGAAGCAGTAGGTGGTGACTGCTTTCACTGATGGATTAGGTCCTGCCTGCACCTGTGGTGTGCCAGTGCTGTTACTGCATGGGCCCTTGGTGTCCTCCTGTGTGACCATTGTGGTGAGGAAGGCGACACACTGTTGAGACATCCCCCACTGCTCAGCACTGACAGGCACCATCATGGCACTGCTGTGTCTGGTATGAAAAATACACAGGAGTAGAAAGGAGAGCTGGGGGAAAGAGAAATAGAACAGCTGTTCTCTAGAACTTCGTCTTCGAGGTCTTCATGGGCCAGATTCTGCTTTCCGGTACAGGACTGTGAATGCAAACCAACCACATCAGTTTGAGTCCTAGAGCAAATGGGGAGCTGCTGGGTGACTATGGGCTCCTCCAGGGGACAGAGTGGAAAACAGACTCAGGGCTGAGCCTCCGTGGTGGTGGCATCAGGAAGGAAGGTGAGGAGCTTGCTCAGCCCTGGAAGCAGCTAGTCAGTCATAGGACTGAAATGAGAAATTAGAGCGAAAGGCACAGCCTGCACAGTCACTGGGGGCAGAGGGAGATTTCTTTGAAAGCCTTTCCTCCCCCAAAAACCTGTTTCTCGATTCATCAATCTGTGTTCTAATAAAACTGGGCCCTGGTTTGGCGTGGTTGTGGAAAGGAAAGAGCGAGCAGTTCTGCTTTTGGGCTGTGTCCAGTTTGGGCTTCTGCTGCAGGGACTTTACGCAGCAATCTGGAGCAGAATTTGACCCAGGGAGGCTGGAACAGTGGAAGGTGAGAGGACCAGGTGAGAAGCAGGTTTTCCACTTCAGCATGCCGTTGTTTGCTTTCCCGTGTTAGGTCTGTCTCCAGCAAGCTTCCTTTCGCTCCAGCACAACCCTGTTATCAGTAGGATTACAGTACATTTATTCCTTTGTAAGTGAGAACAGAATTTAACCTTCTATCTGCATCTGCTTTTTTCTGTGTGCTTTCTCTCTTTAACATATGTAACGCTGGGGAAATCAAATTGAATCCAAGCCAGCTTCCTTCCTCTTACATCTCTCCTCTACAAGAAAGCTCACACTGCAAGCTGCCAACACACTTGCTCAGTCAAGAAGGTGGCTCTGCTGAATTCCAGGATAAGAAAGCTTTGCATCACCACATTTCATACAGAACTTATTTCATGAGGAGGCACTTGGCTGCAGAGCCTTGGGACACCCAGTGGAACCATTTCAGGTGAATTTGCTTACTGCGATCCACATGCCATGCAAAAACCAGCACTGCCTCTGCCTCCTGCTGAGGTGTGGGTACAAAAATTGGCTCTTCAAAGGGTGAACACTATAGAGGATAACCTTCGAAGAAGTCCAGTGAAGTCACTCATTTCCACAGGGCTTTGTTAAAGGATTAAGCAGCCAGCTGACCCTGTGATGGCATCTCAGGCCAAACTCCATATGCTGGTGCAGCAACGAACTCCTCCACAGGGCATGCCCTTGCTGAACAGATGAGCTTGGTGCCAGCGCCTGGCCAGCCAGGACCTGCTGGGGAAAACACACAGTGCAGAGTCCCACAGTGGAGATCCATTCTGCAGGAGCCCCTAGACCCCTTCCCTCACACCCTCCTGCCCAGCTCCAGATAGAAATAGGGGCTGTTAGCAGCAGTAAAGGCTTTTTGACAGCTGCAGGCAGCCTCGCTGCCCATGGCTGCAAGAGAGGTAGCAGAGGCTGGCTGTGACCAACTATACAGCACCTCACTCAGTCCCTTTCAGCCCCCATGACTCTAAACCACGAATACAATATTTTTTTTAATTCATTTTCCTGTATCTCTAATACTGCAATTGGAATTAATGGAACAGTGATTTTACAGCATCAGGCTGGGAATCAGTGTTTCCTGCCCTGTGAGATGGCTAAGGGCACATGGGTGCCCTCAGGGATGCCTGGGCTGGTAGGCTGGCATTGGAGGACTGTGTGGGACACAGGTTTGGCTCACACTCTGCAATGGGGCTTTTTGGATGAGTCCTCAAAAAACGAGGTCCAAATTCTACCCAGGGGCAGTTTTGGAGACAGGAAGTGGGAGCAATACCAAACTTAGCCAGGAAGTAAGTTAACAATAAGTGTGAGCTATCAGTCAACTCCTTTTTCAAATTGCAGGACAGGTATTTCTAATGTGCTGTGTGATGTCTTCTGCAGTGGTCAGAATGATGCCTTTCTCTGGTGGAAAGCAAAGCAAAGCAAACACGAGTTCCTCTTTCACTGAATGAAGTTAACATCGTAACGCTGGTGAAGTGACACATTTCCACCTGCAGAAGTGTGGGCAAGAAGAGCCCAAACCAGGTCAGACTTCCAACTGATGGTGTCTGTTCTCATTATGTGGTTTTCAGTAGACAAAACTGAAGAGGGCTGAGAAACCACAATCACAAAATCACTTCTTTCTTTAGGTTGATGAAACTTTGACTTTAAAAAGAAAGGAAAAAAAGCTTATCGAGGAGAGAGAAAGATTTTATCCATACTTATTGCAATCCAAGCATCTCTCCTATGCATGTCTCACAGGGGAAGATGACTTAAGAAACTCCAGGAAAAA